CAACACTGTCTTTCAAAAATATACACATTTGTTCACTTGCACATAAATAGATAATAATCACAGGTGTGGACAATTTTATGTCCAACACTTTACAATGGCTCTCTCTCTCTCTGTGTGTGTGTCTCTCCCTCACACACACAGCGTAGGGAACCTCTGGATTGCCACAGTGTGGTGTCAAATGGTAAGTTCATCTGCCCGTTTGTGATCACTTCAAACAAGCCACTCGGAGCAAAACGTTCCCTCTGTTGGTGGAGAGACGTTCAAGTCACTGAGCAGGCACCCTGGAGAACTGGTGACAACTCTGGGAGCACGTTGTGTATGTGTGTGTGTATGTGCAAATCCTGTTTCTTTTAGCTTATACATAGAGTGCATTTTCACTGTGTGTACATGTGTATAAACCTGCACTGATTTGTGTATGTGAAGCTACCACCACAAGTGTTAGCTTGTGTGTGTGTGTGTGTCTGCCTCAGTAAAAGTGTGTCAACTCTAGAGTTTTTTGCCCGGCTGTGTGGAACATAGCAGATGTGCTCAGTTCTCCCCTGAGGATTCTGCCTCTCTCTCTCTCTCTCTCTCTCCCTCTCTTTCTCTCTCTCCCTCTCTCTCTCACTTTACACACTCTCATCTAACTCTCATCCGTACATACCCTCCAATGTTTATACGTCGCTGCTCTTCAGATAATAAGCTGACTGCAGTACTTATCCCCCTTCCTTCCGTTGGTTACTTATTCCCTCCTCTCTGCTCTCTCTCTCCTCCCATCTTTTTGTACCTCTCACAGCATGGTTAACTGTCAGCTGCTGAAATGTGAAATAGTTTGGAGCTCTCACAGTGAAAAGTGTTAGATTTATAGTTAGCACATATCTCAGCATAATATGGGTTTTTGCAAAAGTCCTGCGTCACAGGTCTGAAACTCAGATTACCTGGAGGCCACTGTAGACTAGTCTGTAAGAAGGGAATCATAGGTGCACCCCCACAAAAAGTGTTTCATGGCACAGATAGAAATATTTTGGTTTCAGATGTCAGAGGTTGTCAGAGTTCTGTTGGTCATATCTGACAACTCGTGCAGCTGGAAACAAGTTACTAAAATTTAATGTGCAATTTAGAAATTGTGATTTTTAACAACCTTGCCTGAAAATGATATGACCCTAAATATAAAATCAAAGAGGAGAATCAGAAAAAGGGAAATTACTAAATTAAGAAGCTGGTCATAGGTAACAATAAATATTAAATATGGAAGGCTTTTGAAAAGGTCTCACACTCCACATCTGGCCCCAGGTCTGCAGTGCAAAACCCCTGATGTAATATGTTAATATTATACCTCTTGATTTTGATGCCATCTTTGGTCTAAAATTGATATTTTGTCCTCAGTTGATAGCGGTGTCTTCCTTTGGAAATAAAATCGCTTCCTTTGCACCAGCTGTAAAAAGAAACAAATGCCAAAGCTTCCAGGCCATGGCTTTAGGTCGAATGACTACTGAGTGGCATCACATGTTCATTTCAAGTTAGTAGATTTTTTTTTTCAAGCCCCAGCCAACCCGATGCCTTTCTCTGCAGAGTTTGCATGTTCTCCCTGTGCCTGCGTGGCTTCTCTCCAGGTACTCTGGCTTCCTCCCAGATCCCAAAGACAACGACTACAAAATTGGCCATTATCCAGAAGGGCATCTGGCGTAAAACATGTCAAGTTTAACATGCGCATTGTCAGCTCAGTGGGAACTGATGATTCGCTGTGGCGACCCCTAACGGGAACAGACAAAAGTAGAAGAAGCAGATTAGTTTTTGTCCTCATTGCAAAAGACCTGAGTCCCAAGTATCAAAGTTGGCAGAATAAAAAGCACACTAATGTTGGTCATAAATGAAGAGTTGCACAGTTAGATGCAATTTACTAAATGTAGCTTTTGAAATAAAACCAAAATGTATGAAATAAAACAATTATTCTAAAATAAAATACTGGGGGAAAAAATCTAAATGGGGACAAAAGTTGTGCATGTGGTCAGATTAATTTCAAACATGATATTGTCTCACTGGACACTGAGGCATGACAGCTTGCATCCAGAAGCTGACAAAACAATTTTCACTTACTACCTTGTTCTTGAGCTTTCAACCCCATCAGATGGTCTTCATCAGCACAATATAGTTGCTCAGTTGTGAAGTTATTCTGTGGACTTTTGTATTTGTAGCCCCTGCCAGCTTAAAAGTTGAGCATGTTTCCCTTGATGTTGGTGTCACCTTTGGTGTAAAGTGGTTTGATGTGAATGCACTCAGTGTTGGATTTCTGTAAAAGGAAAAACGTGTAGAAAGAGATCACCTTGTATTTAAAGTGACAAAAACAAAAACAAAAAAAATTGAAATTCACTGGCTATTATGTAGTATAATGTGGTTGTAGGAAAGACTCTTAAAACTGACCTTACTTTCCATGAAAACCACCTTGCAGTTGTGTTGGAAGGGCATTTTAATAGTTAAATAGTTACACCACCATGCTTTCAGTAACAAGCCTCGCTTTACTAACCTCCCTTTGTTTGTCTCACACACACAGATATACACATGCACAGCTTCTGCACCCAAAACAGGCTTCTCCAAAGTCTATTCAGTCCCATGTAGGCCACAGTGTCACGTGAGCAGGTAGTCACACCATAAATCAAACCAGTTCCTGCTGCTCCCTCCCTGGATTTCAGCAGCTTTTCTCAGCTGGGGAAAATGGCACGAGAAATGAAAATATTCCTGTGGTAGAAAACAAAAAAAGAAATATTGTTAATAAATTTATGGGTTTGAGTTAGGTGCAGCACAGGTTGCCGTCACCTCACATTGTGCACACATTTTATCAGCCCAGAAAAAGTGAGAGAGGGGAGGAGAGGGAGAACAAGGTGACAGTACAAGCAACATGAGTGTGGATAATGAAAACTAAATACCATCTTTTCTCGCTTTCTTCCCGTCTCTGTCTTGCTTTCTCTTCTGCTCTGCACCACTAGTTTGTCTTTATGCTAGTGAGGGGATTTGAACTGCGTGTGTGTGTGTTTGTGTGTAAGTGAACAGCAAAACAGCAGTTGCATCTTTTTTAAATTTTGATGAAAAGTAGGGAACTTGTTTTTTCAAGCCCCAGATGAAACTGTGTACAGAACATTTTGTTTTATCTCCTAATATTTTAGTGATGCTCAGTTGGCGAGCAGGAAAAATGTGAAGCAACCCAAGAATATGGACAATCCTTAAACAAATGAGATGAAATTCTTTCTGAGATAAATCACATCGATTCAGCTAGTTGATATCAAAGGATCAATAACTGAGTTTACAAGCAGGCTAATATTCCTTTAATGCTCTGGCTGATAGTCTAATCAGAGTAAAATGCCTCATTTAGGCCCAGTATTAAAATGTGCTCTGCATCTAAATGTCCAGATAATGAACAATCTAATCACACCCACAGATTTACACCCATTATGAGTGTGTGTTTATATGCATTATATGCTGCTCACGTTGTCAATTCAATCTCATTTTTCATTTGCAATAATGCTACCAGCTCCGACTCTCTAAATCCTTGTATTGTTGTGTATAGCTGCTCTGCCTGGGTTAAGCTGCCCTTCTTCTATAGGCGTCTCCATAATGCTGCAGTGCTGGCTTTACAAGTATTTTAATAATCTTTAGTCTAAAAGCTGTGTTAAATTGAGGCAAAACACAATTTGGGTTGTTTTCCAAAACAAGATTAGCCAATTTTCTCAATTTGAAAGTTACCAGCCTTAATGGAATTTTTGTTGAACAAGTGTTTGAATACAAACATCTTGGCATCTGGCTCAATAACAATAACACTTCTAAATTCACATTAAAGCACTAGCTGACTGAAGCTTTTCAGGGTTGGTTTCTTTTATAGATTAAAAAAAGAGATTGCGATTCTGCAGATTGCGCAGACTTGCAGCCAGTCATTTTTATTCATCAGTATTCGACAACTTTAAAAGCTGTTAATGTTGTCTAACTTTGCAGTTAGGTTCAAAACCGGCTGGCTATAACGCCACTGCAGTCTACAGCAAAACGAGGCCTGGTCAGACAGAGCATCATTGCTTCTTGTTTATTTGCACAACTTCTTGTACACAGACGACCACGTTATCTCACTTCTGACATGCAGATCTGGAACTTATCAGACTTGCCCTGAAGACTGGCTTGTGCTCCATGTTCTTAAAGTAAATACAGAGCTCAGGAAACCTTCAGTGCAGAGGTCCATCTTGCAGAAATGTGAATCTTAAATGAAACAAGATGGAAGTAGGTTCAATATGTGCTCATTTGGAAAACACTACATTCTAATGGCAATTTTACTAAAAATTTTATACATTGTCAGATTGTCAATTTGATAATACTGATATGCCAAACACAGGCCTATTTACACACTGAGCAGATAGTGGGAAAAGTTAGCATTCTTGGGATATTGGTTTCTGGCCATCAGGCAAATAGGAGTCCAATATTCACTCTCATTTTAACCCCTTTTTGTTTTTTTCTCACCATCAGCTCCTAAAGGAAACCTCGGGTATGTACATTGCTAAATATTCACGCTCTAGCTGCTAACTCTGTCTTTCAGTCATGTGTGACGCTGGGCAGGTAGTAGACAGCTAGTTGATCAGAGCCTTTGCTGTCTGCCGTGTCTTGAAACAGCACTGATGAGGGCGTTGAGACTAAACTAGAACAGCAAAGTTGCTGCAGTAATACCAAAACAATTAGCTGAAAGATGCTAATGTGAGCTGTCAGTTATATGTGGGTTTGTCACTTTGAGCTGTCTCTACACATTACACATAGACTTTTGAATGTAGAACGTTGATTAAAGCAGCTCTAAGGATTAAATGGAGGTAGGTAATGGACTGCAGAAATCTGGACAAGTAAGTGGAGGTGAAGTGCGTAAAGTTCGTAAGATCATCTAGCACATGTGCAGAGTTTGTGAGTGTGCAGAGCAGCATTTGAAAGTTGCAGATGTACCATGTACAGTAAATGTAAATAATATAATATAATTATGCTTCTGTGTCTTTATTCAGATGTGTTGGACAGCATGGCGAGATTCAGTGTTCAGGGAGTGTTCAACTACAGCATGCTGACTCTGTCTGACCACGAAAGGGTTTTGTACATTGGGGCACGAGAGGCTTTGTTTGCCCTGGACCCAAATGACATCAGCAGACAGCTACGGCCACAGGTAACGCACACACACACAAACAAACACATGCACAAAGGCTTTATTTTCCACCACTGAGGGAAATTACAGTAAAAGTTCAGAAAGAATTCAAGAAAAACAATCATATCTACAACATTGCTTTACTGTCACTGCAAACACCCACACATCCTTTTGTAAAATGCAAGGCATTAAATGATAATGTAAGATTTAATATCATGGAGCTGCATAATGGACATTTCAGGAACAAAAAGCATCATCTCCTCAACACTGCCTGGTTACTGAGCACCTGGCAGAGATAAATACTACTTTCAAATACTTAATTTAAATACACCAAATTCAATTATGATGTAATTTTTGATATGATTATTATATAAAAGCTTTCAATAATACAAAGGTTCAGCTTGAATAAGCAGAATGAGAAATGAAACATAGAGCATATCTGCCTTTGCCACACCTCTTGGCTGCCCATTAACTTACAAACTGACCTTATTTATTTATTTAGGCTCATTTTTGTACTCAGTGGCATTTGAGAACACACACACACACACACACACACAATGAAAGAGCCTTACAGTAACATAATAAAGTTGAATCATGCTGGTTGTTGGTTCTTTTATTGCTCTGACATGTACTTTTTTATTAAATCTTCAGGCCTTGTAGAGTTTAGTAATGTACACTAAAAACTGTCATATAACTTAATATCTTCCCAAACTATATTAAAATGCCCTCATTGAAGGGTCATAAATATAAAACATGTAGGTTGTTAATTGCTACTGTCAGCTAAGAGACAGTATGTCAACTTTTCCAAAGCAGAAAACAGCCTTGTTTGTGGTTTGTTGAGTTTAATAAATTGTTTTGAAAGGGTAAACCAAAGAACACTCCCCAGATTTGTATAACATAGAAAACTCAGAAAACCGTGGATCCCCCAAAACTGTCAAAATAGCAAATGGGAATTAAATGTTATCAGACAAGTAGGAATATAATTGAATACATCAATAAGCAATAGTTTGTTCAAATATTTTTAAATGGAGTATGAAAAGAAACATCTTTCCATTGTGGTCCTGGATGACAACATCTTGAAGATGAATGGTTGCTGTGAATGTAAGCATTAGCTAGCTAACTGGGCTAATGTTAGCTTGCCAGTTAAATGCATTTGATACTGTACAGCTACAGCAATATACAACTTTTTTAAAAATGTATTTATTTATTTATTTTTTCAGTTCTGCCATTCTGCCAGGCTATTACTGTAGTTGGAAGTTATTTGTGTTAACTGTTACTAAAAGCCTCCAACAGTAAGTAAGCTGCCAAATAATAAGATCATAATATGTGCAGCTACTGGCTCCAATATTTCACTTCTCTCAACACAAGCGTATCCACTGTGAATGTGTGGGAGTGCACAGGCATGCACCCAGATATACACTAGCACAGACACTTGCACAGGCTTTGGCTCAGTTTTTCTAGGAGTTTATATTGCACTTATTCAATCATGTTTTTTACTGTCCTTGTCTTAATGTATGGATCTTGTTTTTCTGTGATGCAAACCTGTTTGTTAAGCGCACCCTATAAATACCCTTGCCTTGACCTGATACATACATACTCATACAGAGATGGTAAAGCCTCAGAGAATCCAGTTGGTTTTGCTTTGTTCCTTCAGTAAATGGCACATATTGCAATCAATACAATTACAGCAGTTCAATGAAGGTGTAGTGAGCCGCCAGCAGCAATTTGGGGATTGTTATCTCATTTACCATTGTAATGAGCAGTTATTAGATGTGCACACACGCATTTCCACACACATGCAACACAGGCACAGGCTGTTTGAGTGAGGGTTATGAGTCTTGCTGTAATGATAAGACCACCTGTTGTCAGCCCCGAGTGTGCAATGTTGTGGAAAAGAGCCAGCATAGAAAAATGACGAAGCGAGGACAAGGGAGTCTATCCCCTCTGTCACCATCTGCCCATCACTCTCTCACCCCTCCTCCCCCTTCCTTCTTTTAGCTGCTACTCTGTCGTTTCTTTGCTGCTGTCCACTGTCTTCTTTCATTACTGTCATGTCTGCCTTTGGATATTTTCTAGGGCTGTTGTTATCAGTATTTTAATTTTTTGGAAATACACAGCTTCCATTTGTCCCTGAAGCTCTTTCTTCTACATTATTTAGTTATGTTCGTTCCCCAAATGATTATGGATTGTTTTTTATGATTCCATTTGTTGCGTTTGTTCAGTCATTTCATCTGTTAACTTGCAGACCCACGATACAATTTTGACAAAATTTGCAGCGTCGGTGCACTGCTTCACCTTGTTCCTGCATTATAAAAAAGAACAAAGTGTGGCACTAATTAATTGGTTTGGTTGTATACTACCATTTCAGCTGGTAATTTGAGTTACTTGAGAATCAGTGATCAATTTAAGTTCTCTTTTATTTGCTAATGGACAAAGTGTAGATCTACACTGACTCTGTGAGATAAAACGTCCAAGATTTGACTGTGTCATGTAATAATGCTGAGTTCCTTCTCAAAAAAAAAAAATGTTTTCTCTACGTTCTCTGCCATTGAGTTCTTTTTATTGACTACATCAGATACTTTTATTTACCATACTTAATTTCTGTTTGTCATACAAATACTATAAATAAAGACACCATTAGCATATTTTTAGAGCCAGGCATGTGAAGTTGGGGCTTGTCAACTACTACTGCTACTATTTCATTTACATACTGTATTTTGTAAAATTCCTGACCTGTGTAAAGCCAGTGAAGATTGAATATGGGAAGAAATTAGATGAAACAATAAATTGATGGCATGTCTATGCTTAGCTTTATCTAGTCTTTCTTGAAAAGCCAGATTCCATTAGTTAAAACCACACATCCTAAAGATAATATTTCACAGCCACAGATCCTAATGATTAATTTAGTTATTAACTCTTACATGTTATAACTTCATCCTCTCTCCACTGCAGTCTGAACATTAAATGTAGATTTACAGTGGACAGTGGTAGGGAGGAGTATACTGTAAGTGAATAAATAGAGCGGTATAAATAATGGATGATGTACTGACCAGAGGTTACTAACTTAGCTAAAGAGACATGAACAGTATTGTATCTGTAAACATTTCATGCTCATATATTAAAGCAAAGTGAACTACTCTGAAGTAATCATTATCAGCCAAGTGTGTCAAGACCATTAAAAGTCAGTGCTAGTATATTTAATAAAAGTAAGTTTTATATGACTTTATGTCTGTCAGTGCAGTGTATGGCAGTAATCCATTGTTTGATTGCTGTTGGTTAAAATCCAGTCAAGGAAATCAGAGTTTGTTTTTGAATTTTCAGCTCTCTGCCTGTAATGGCCAGTGTAATTATTTTTAATGGTGTGGAAACCTCTTAGTAAACACCATTCATATTTTATACCTCATGTCCATGGAGCGAAGTTCAGCCAGGTGTCACACCGTCATTAAAAAAAATAACTCCTGTGAATAGCAAAGGTCATCAGTAAAAGGCAGTGTGAGTTTACATGGTATGGAAGAATGGTATTAGCTTTACTCCTACATCTTTTAGAAGAATTGTACCTTTGGAGGACAAAAGCCTGTCACTGGAATAATATTTTCTACAAATGCATTTTGGAACACTTTCTTTACAATCTTACAATCCTTTAAACAATAGTATTATCACTGGGGAGGTTTGCTGTAGGGACTTCGCAGTTTCCAGTGGTGGAAAGTAAAATATGTTTGCTCAAATACTATACTTAAGTACAATTTTGAAGTATTTGTACTTGAGTTTGTTTCCATTTTCTGTTATTTTATGCTTTAACTTCATTACATTTCAGAAGCAAATACTGAACTTTATACTCCATTACATTTATTTGATTAATGTAATTACTTTTTAGAACTAAAATATAACTAAATATATAGCTTGATCAGAATGTATTGATCCCTGGTGGAAAATTTACAGGCTACCCAGCAGTACGTCAAATTATAAGCATATAAGTATAGTTAGCTACAATTCGCTTTACCAGCTGCAACTTTAAAGTGATGATCACAATAATACATCAATCATTTTTACCCTATAATATGATGAACATAAATGTGAAATGTGGCATTCTGTATTATGAGTACTTTTACTTTTGGTACTTCAAAAGTATTTTGCTAATCCTTTTGTATTTCTACTTAAGGAAAATGTTTAATGTAGGACTTTGATTTTGTAACAAAGAACTTTTATTTTGTAGTATTGCTGCTCTTACTTAAATACAGGATTGGAATACTTCTTCCACCACTGACAGTTTCCTGCTTACCTTTAACAGTGTGTGTGATGGGGTCAGCTCAGTACAACCACTGTCAGGACTGCAGTGCCACTTTCTCTCTGCACCACCTAGGCAGACTATTTTAACTAAATAAAATGTATCTTTAGGCCAAGGTGAATGAACAACTGTAACTTTGTACTCTAGACGTTCAGCAACAACTTTGTGCTTATTTGCTGCATTAAAATGTATGTATCTGATATATACATTTATATATGTATATATAGAGAGAGAGGGAGGGAGAGATAGATAGATAGATAGATAGATAGATAGATAGATAGATAGATAGATAGATATGCAGGACCAAAATGTGCAATATATCATTTTTGTGAGTATGTAGTTGTTCCTTACAGCAGCTAGTGATCTAGAATGCAGAGTTTACTGACTGCCTTGATGTGTTTCTAGGTGCATCCTAAGGGAGGTTTTCCATTACAGGAACTGACTGAAGCGTGTCGAGCCAAGTAACACTCATCACGGGTTCTGCGTTTGTTTCCACTACTGTGCGCCTGCTTTGAAGGTGCAGTCCAAAAGCAAAATTTCAGCTCCCCTAAGGAGGTAGTACTAAAATCAAGTTCCAGGAGCACGAGGGGAGATGGGGTACATGCGCGCAGAGCAGTCAGTCACCTGTGATTGGTTAAATGTCCCCTTCACATGCAAGGTGTGCAGAGAGGGACTTATACTGGTTTAGTGTCAAGGAAAAAATTTCCTTAATTGTGTATCATATATGAACAACCATCAGTGGGTGAGAAATAAAGAGAACTGAGATGGATACATCTTTTGTGTAATTTATTTCTACAGAAAGGAGTAGTCTACAACAGCACTCAGAGAGGCATGTTACAGAGACTCAAAGAATAAGGAAGACAATTCAATATAAGGCAGAGGAAAACGTCACACAAAGGAGTGTACACTGAGAACAATCATGCATTTGTGTTCACAGAGTTTCTGGCTTCCAAGACACTGAGAGGTTCACAGTAGATACTTTCAAGGACTGTTGATGTTACAGTTGCTTGTGCAGCAAACAGAGTACCTCAGGCAATCAGTGTGTCAGCAGAAAACAGGGTTCACATGTCCAGTGTGTGAAGGTTTACCACAGTTAGTTACCACAGTTGTTAGCAGGCTATAGTTTAATGTATAAATGAACGATGTAAATGGATATACTGAAAATTGCCATTACATTTAGTCGAGCCAGTGTTTCTTTATATAGCATTTTAAAACAATAGTAGGTTGACCACAGCATTGTGCAGATAGAAATATATAAGAAGATATAAAATAAAATTAAAAATAAAGGATAAAGAAAGAGATGAAATGAGGACTTCGCTTGTTGGTTTATTAGTGGAAATGCAGCACATTGACATAAATGAGGTATTTATGGCATTTACACATCTTTTTACAATGTGCACTATACTTCATGGTCTGTGCCAGCAATTGAACGTGATATATTCATACATAACATAACAAACTTGCATAATATTTTCCTTATGGGCCAAAGGCAGACCACATAATTCCTGGAGAAAATGTGTTGCCCACATCACGTCTGTCTCTTTCTTTCCTTCAGATCGACTGGCCAGCTCCGCAAGATAAGAAGAGAGAGTGTGTTGCCAAGGGGAAAAACAACCAGGTAATGTGGATTTTAGTTGACAGAGTTACTTGCATTCCTCAAGTGGCAGTACTTTTTACACAAAACAGGGGATTCATTTGACTTTACTCAATTATATGTTGTCAGGTCAGTCTGAGGCTTCATACCAGAATTTTTCCATTAGTACATTCGCACAAACAGTGAAGTTCATCTTATAGACAGGGTTAGGACCGGTAGCTTTTAAGATGGTTCAATTCAAGAAGTGTTTTGTTTTGAGCAACAAGAAGTATATGGACGACTTGCTCAAATATGCAATAAAGAGTTTGATAATACTACATAGATACAATATAAATAATACATTATATACTTACTTTAAGTTAAATGTGTGTCTACCTCATTGTTTAGGAAACTACTGTACTACGTGCTTCAATAAGCAGCTGTCTAGCTTAGCTTAGCATAAAGACTAGAAACAGGGGAAAGCTGCCAGCCTGGTTCTGGTAACCAAGGTGCAAAAATGACAAGTTGTGTTTTATCAGGTGCTATTTCTTGGCGTGGAACGATAACTTTATGGGAAAAACAGTGCAGGACATGACTCATGTAAAACCTGTGATTTTTACACTTTGGCTTTTGTATGCATTAATCAAACAGCATGTAACATGTTATTCAGTGAGTTTTAGAGGTGCTGCTACACAGGCTGTTATTTCTGCCTAGTTTCAATCTTTATGCTAAGCCAAGCTAACAGGTTGTTGGCAGTAGCTTCATATTTAATGGACGGAGATGAGATTTATCAATATTTTCATCTAAATCTCAGCAAAATAGACCTTAAATATAAGTATTTGCTTCTTATACGCATGTACAAGTAATGTACATAACACAGTTGGAGAAACATTTTGAATCAAATTAAAAACAAACATTTTTGCGAGTATTTTATTCTGATGTTTAACAGAGACTAACTCTTTGTAACCTGCAGGGACTCCACTGGAATCTTATGATCCTCTAATTCTCACCATCATTTGTGGTACATGTGTAAACAGTGAATAGCCCCCAGCCCTGCATTTTAGTCTCGGCAAGAGTTTCTCACTGCTTAGGCTGCATAATATATTTGTAAGAAGTTGTGTTTAATATTTTATAAAGACACACAGAGCTAAAACTTCTCTTGTTGCACCAGAGTAACTTTTAATGTTGTTTTAATCAGAAGGGGAATTGGTTCACTGGAGTGCAATAGCAACAACATTGCTTTACCTAAAATTGACTCCAAATGAAGTTTATATAAAAAAAAAATCTCAAGAAATTAACAGAACTTTAAAAATACTTCAGCGCTTTCAAACAGACATTACTCAGATTCAAACATCATCTTGTAAGAATTGACAGTTTCCCTGTTTTTGGTGCAGTACTATAAATATTACACAACATTATGATCTGTGATCAGGATTAGAACATTTACATTAAAATACTATGAAAAGTGCATTAAATCCTGCACATCTACTTTAGTCTAAACATATCTGTGAATGCTTACATATGGTAACAGCAATTTACTTACTATGCAAGAATAACCATATGGTGTTTACACTGCCCATCATTAAATCTAGTGATGAGTCCTTTTATGTAATGTTGTAGTTGTGGGCCTGGAAGAGGCACATCTGCCAGATGGAATTTTGTCCTGATTATCCCCAGTGATTGCAGAAGCTGTAAACATGAATTTAAAAAAAATAATATTGCTTATATTGGAGCCATGAGATATGGATATTGATTTTCTTCGTTTCAATAGCAGCATCAAATGAATGCACTGAATTATTTATTCCTCTAGTATTCATCATGTTTGAGCATCTGTTTCCAGTTCCATTCAAAGTGCTTTACTGTTCATCACAGTGCAGACATTAAAGGACACTTCCCACAGAAAAACTTTATACTAAACTCTTATTTACAAACATGACCTTTGGAAACAATCTGTCGCTTTTTGTTCAGTTTAAATGTTACTTATGTAATGTGAGAACATCATTACGGCATCTTTTAATTGGTGTCCACAATAGGACACTGAAGATTTGTACAATAGTGTTAAGTTGATCGATATAAATCACAAAACAAATAAGAATACAGTATATATTTTGGAGGCTGCCAGTGTTCAGTGTGCTCAAGCTGAATTTATTCACCCAAAAATAAGAAATGGTTTGATTTCCTACCTGTTGATTTCACACATTTTAAATAATAGGATATTATCGCCAAACATTATTACAATGTTTCATATGGAAAAGGCAATGGGGGGATTTGAGGACCCAATGCAAGACACAGATAAGGCAGGTAGGCAGGTTTTTTTTTTACAGTTTATTCTAAACACAAATCCTTAAAGCAAATCCTTACAGAGCGCCCAGGTTGCCAAAGCCGAGCAGGGAGAAACTAAGGCAAAACGAATCCAAACATGGATCACAGACATGCAGTCAGTCCAGGTCGAGCAATAAATCCAAGGGGTCAGAGAAAAGTGGACTCCAGAAGCAAACAAGGTTCAAAATCCAGCAGAGTCAAACTACAGTAGAAACACAAAACACTAGAAAACACATAGGGCTAGAAAACTGAGGTAAACAGGTAACTGGCAGTATACACTACTATATACACAGTGAGAGGTAGTCAAACAATAGAAGACAGGTGTGTGTGTGCGTGTGTGTGTGTGTGCAAGTGCTGGGGAAGAGGGATGGGAGGCAAGGAGAGAGAGCTGGAGGGAAAATCTAGAGGCAACTAGAGGGTGGGTGGTGAATGACAGTCTCTAGAGAAGTCCAAAAGGAGCAGAGCTGGGGAAAGCATGGTACAGAAGCTGAAACAGGACTGGGATTGTGACAGTTATCTAGCTTTAAAGTTACTGAGGTCTTGCAGGTGAATGAGTATTGAGAAGTAACACTAAAGCTTAATCTAAATCTCAGATGATGTGTTGCCATACTGAATGGAATAATCTTCAGCGAAACCTTTACATAACATTCTTCTCTCCTTCACAGACTGAGTGCTTCAATTACATCCGTTTCCTGCAAAGCTACAACCACACACACCTCTACACATGTGGTACCTATGCTTTCCAGCCCAAATGCGCCTACGTGGTAAGTATGCATGTGTGTTTTCCCCTAAATAGTGAGTCAGGGGGAGCCAGTGCTGACAGGTGTCAACATGAGATGCCTGGCATACTACCTGACGTTAATAACACTGTATGACAAAATAAAAATAAATACGATGGAAAAGAGACTCTCACGCAGGGTTTGCCTATGTGACACTGATGCGATTAGACAACATGGCAAGGGTTGACACTGTTGTAACAAACAGACAGAGCTGTGTGATGTGTGTCATAATGCATAGTGACCATGAATCACCTGTGTTCTTCTGTCTGTGTATGTGAATCTGTGTGTGCCTGCAGAATGCAGACTATTTTACTCTCAACACTGCATCCCTGGAAGATGGGAAGGGCAAATGTCCATATGACCCTGCCAAGGGGCACACTGGCCTGATAGTCGGTAAGTAGAAGTATGCCTGTACAGTCTGTGTCCCCATGAGCACATACAATACTTTGATTTATATGCATGCATTATTTCATGTACTTTGAAAATCAGAAAATAATAACTTTTTCTAATATATAAGATTGTTTTTATAAACAGTTTTAATAATCATTAAAGCATCATTTTACCCCAAATCATTGGTCTTTAGTTAGAAATCTGTTAGGGGTATCCATTACTAACATGAAAAATACATTCAGCTCTTGTTGTTCCCTGTGTTTTTACGGCTCTAACAGAAGGATAAAATGTCCATCAAACATCCACAAATTGTTCCAGCAGCATTTCCCATCTGTTTTGTAGCCCTGCAATTGCACTGAGAGTCCAGAAGGGCAATTTAACTTCGCTTGCTGCGTTCACTTGTGTGGAGACAGCTTCACAGAACCAACAGACACCCACTGTCCTTTTTTTTTTCATTTTGTGTGTCCCTGTTGAACCACTGACCTTCTCTGCTTGTGTCTGTACAGCTGCAGTTGGGAAAAAAGTGAAATAAACTAAAACTTGCATTTTGTTGTTACAGATAAGGAGCTGTACTCTGCAACGCTCAACAACTTCCTGGGTACAGAGCCAGTCATCCTGAGGAACCTGGGCCAACAGCACTACAGCATGAAGAGTGAATACTTGCCTGCCTGGCTGAATGGTAAGTGAAATAAAGAACATGAGAAAGATAGGGAGAAAGAAGTGATAACCCTGCCAACTTAAGGAGAGAGACATCAGGGGGCAAAAGGGGGAAGGAACAGGTAAAGAAAACAAAAGAAAAGTTTATTTGTTATGATTTTGGGCAAAACATGTTTTGCCAGAAATTTCCACATTATAACATTAGTTGTTTCTTAAAGAAATGACTATTCTCTGAGTCGCTACTCAGGGTTTCTGTTCTAGCACAAGATGTTTACCATAACAAAGGCAGACTTTCAGCTTTTCTATACAAATCCATAGCAATTTAATGAATAAATAAATAATTCCTGTACAAGTAAATAGCAGCAGTTTCTTTATTTTAGCCACCCTACAGTTCAAAACTGCAAAATTGAGGTACATAATCTTTAAGCTAACTTATTTTAAATTGTGCAAAATAGTCCTAAATATGCACTTAGTGGACACATATATGATACAATGCTAACAGACTGAGGCTAAAATCTGTGCCTCATGCAAAAAGTCTGTACTCATCAGTTAATGAGAAGAATGTAGAAGACATGGAAATAACACACAGCAATTTCCCTGTATTGTAGATTAGCTCTAGTATTATAGTAGTTTTACAAATAAAAATGCAAAAAAAAAGTGATGTTATTTCATTTTTACATAACCTGTTTGGACAAGCAACGCAGAGGTTATTCTGGTCTCATTCTTTATTTTTTCATACTAAATGTAAGGAAAAAGGCTAACTTAGCAAGAGTAGCTGTCTTGAGCGAGGGGCAGCTAATGATGTTTTCCTCACAACTAACTGAGTGTACTAACTAGTTCTAGTGGTTGTTCTACTAGCTTATGCCTAGCTTTCTACTAGTAGTAAGCTAGTCGCTAGGCATGCTAACCTTTGTAGTTTACATTACAGATAATAATTACAATCTAATGCATACCTTATACTTCTGCTCTGACCTGTCAGTTTTAAACTTGTATCTTAAAATTTTATTCAGAAGAAAATTCAAATTTATGGAAAAAACATCTTCTATATTCATCCATACCTGTACACCGCTCAATTCAGGTTTAAGATTTTTTTATAAGATACTGCGACACTGACAAATTAAATATGTATTCAAATAAAAGAAATATCACACTAGCATGATAACAGCCGCTCTATTAAAAAAAATAAAAAGCCAGAAACATGCAAAAGAACAAGAGAGAAAGAAATGAGTGGCAGGAAATGAAGCGAAGGATCGTTATCTTGTGGGGGCGAGGAGATGGGGAAAGGAGTGAGTCACTTGGAGAGAAATGAAGGCGCGAGCAGAGGATGAAGTCATAGCAGGAGAAATGGGTGATGAAAGAACACACACAAATAACTGGCAATAAAAAGATGGAAGAGGTAAGAGGAATGGAGGGGGAGTCAGGAGACTCATACAGATGAGTCTGAGGTTTGGGTGTCTGATGTGTCCGTTTTTTTTTTTATTCTCGCTAATACAGAGATTTTATTAAAAACTAGACCTGCAATGAAGCTAGTCTCATCTTAATTTAAGCTTCTTCTGACCAGACTAAATGCATTTAATTAGCCTGGGTTTCACTGAAGAGCTGTAGTGTGTCATGATGACTTAAAATGCGGCTTGAGAGGCTTTTATACTGAAAAGGCTTTTATGTGCTCTTGTAATTTAGTTTTAAAAAACTGTTACATAAAAATGGTTTACTTTAAAGCCCCCAGCAGCCTCAGTCCAAAACAATTTGTATCTACCTCTTAAAAAACATGTCCTTCACACCGTAATGAGGCCTGGATATAGAAAGAGTCTAAGACAGGGAGGACAGGAGGTAGAGAGAAACAAAATGGACTGCTGTGTGACAGTCAGACAGTGTGCGAGAAATGACTGGAGGAGAGATGAGGGAATGATGATCGAAAATAGAAGAGGTGGCAGGGAATGAGATGGAGGTGTGGTATGATTCAGTCCAAATGCGCCTATAGGATAGTACTGTCTGTTCAGCTGCTCTGTATACTTTCTGATGGTACTCTGCTGTGTGTGTGCGTGTGTGTGTGTATGTGCAGAGCCAGACTTTGTGGGTTCAGCTCTGGTGAGGGAGAGCAGTGGCAGTAAAGAAGGGGACGACGACAAGATCTACTTCTTCTTCAGTGAGCGAGCGCTGGAGCTGGACTGTGATACGGAGCTCACTGTGGCCAGAGTGGCACGCGTCTGCAAGGTAACGCTTCAGACGATAATCAAAACTGAGCAGATTCAATTAAACTCTCCTGATTTCCACACTGTGTGTGGCATATCTGCAGATGTTTATTAATGAGAAAAGCTAGAGAAAAGCACAAACTGATTCAAACAGTAATTGAACTGTCACTGACAGAGGTGTAAGGCCAAAACACGTACTGACTGTAAAATCATGGTTTCATGCACTCTTGGATTGAAATTAGCTGTTTTCTGTTTTCTACAGCTGCTCTGGCAGCTGCGTCTGAGCACTTAGTAATGTGAGATAGTACTCGTTACCTAAAGACTTCAAAAGGAGATGCCCAAATAAGAGAGCAACTATATAAATATACCTGTAGGTGTAACTGTAAAGCTGATAGGGCTCACTGGGAATAACCTAATGTTACTTAGAAAGCAAAGTTAACAGGATAGCACTTTATTTTCGAGTCAGATCCAGTGACACTTGATTTATTTTTAACTAGGTTTTCACGCAAGAGATATCAACTATTGAGACTGAGAGCACATAGCTTTCTAGATGGGTAACACAGGACGTACTGTTTGCAAATAAACTTAGATGCATCATATGAGGGCTCAAAACATTAATAACTGTTCAATAAAACACATTTCCTTTGAAAATGATACTTTGAAATACACAGTTTATAGTAGTTCTGCAACAAAACACAAAGAAATGGCTGCACAGAGAAAGTAGCTGTACATGCCTTTACTTGACCCAGATCAGATGACAGAATTTTGGCTCAAAACCAGTTAAAGAACAAAGTGTTGTGTGAAGACAGTTACACTGACATAGATGCATCGATCTGCTTAATTAGTGGCCTCAGGATAACTGATTGAGTTTGACATGCCACAGTGATTATGGACATCAGGGGTACTTTTTATTGTGAGAGACCAAAGGCAGCACTTCTTTTTATTTTGCATGATTTCAGTGACATTGTAGTTGACACAACAAGGGCTTAGTGTCATGTTACAGCTACGTGCGCAACCATATCATCATACTAAACTTTATACTGAGCAAAACAGAGACAGATTGTTAACAGTCTGAGGACCTGTGTGTAATTAAGTATACAATATACACACTGTTTTATGGGAAGTGCCCTTTAATGTCTGCACTGTGATGAACAATAAAGCTCTTTGATTCAAATTACAAACAGATGCTTGCACATGACTATACCGGAGCATTGAATAATTCAGCACATCCTGCTGATACCGCTGTTGCTGCAGTAGCACAGTGTCTATATCTCACTGCCGTATTATGAGCATTTGCATTTTTTTAAATCCCTTTATACAGCCTCTGCAATCACTGAGGATAATAGGAAGGAAATGTCTCTGGCAGATGGGCTCAAAAAACAGAGGGACTAATCATTAATGTGCAGTATATGCAAGATTTATGGTATATTGCAATGTTATTATCATTACCCTGAATTTCAATAGTACCCTTGAACATCAGGGTCTAAATGCTCTTTAAGGACCTGTTCCACCATGACAGCAGTGGAAGAGATTTATTATTGTATAGATATGTACATGTATGTACAGAGATGATATTTAGCATCAGTGAGGTGAAGGAAACAACTAAGACCTGGAGCATATACAGCAGCAGTAAAGTATAAAAGTGAACCTCAACCAACCACACCCAGTTGTGACGTCGTAGTGTACTGACCAAACCCTAGAGTAGACTTTTACATCACTGCAGCACGGTGGTTAAATCACTACAGGACAAGAAAGAGCAGGATTTTCTGCTGCTGTACAGTTGTTCTCTAAAGATGCCAGATTATTGCGAAGGATGCGTTGGCTATATGCTTCAAAGAGCAGAGCAATGTGTTGTGTATGAGTGACATGCTCAAAGATTTCTGTCTGAACTGACCAGACTGAGGTTTGCTCCAGTAAAATTATCAGGTGGAAACTTGAAGAACCCTTCTGTGCTTTAATTAATATTGTGTATCTGATATGGGGGGGGGGGGTACTAAATGTACCTCATTAAAAAATTCTTCAAAATACATCAGTTCTTTTATTTCACTGAAAAATCCAGAATCTCTGAATATATAAATAATTTTGACTGCTGGTGAAAAGATTTCCTACTGAGTTGAGTGTGTTCATCTTAAAATGAGATTTAAGATTTCCCCGTTCATGGGATTGAATGTGAAAACAGACTTCTAATGTCAAATTCTGCACAATGAAACTTAACCATTTAAGTCAAATAACAGCAAGCTAAGTGTATTTTGATATCGTGATATGTATGAGAAGTGTGTTTTGATAATGACAGGACCTGATATGTCTTCACTCAGGGCGATCTGGGTGGTACCAGGACCCTGCAGAAAAAATGGACAACCTTCCAGAAAGCCCGGCTGGAGTGTTCCCTCCCAGAGCGTCACGTCTCCTTCAACAACCTTAGGGCCATCTTCACCCTGCCGGGGCAGGACTGGCGTGGGACCACTTTCTATGGCATCTTCCATGCCCAGTGGTGAGTTAGAGGCTGTCAGAGACATGTAAGAGACTGTGGATGTAACTCAATTTCAGTATCATGCTCAGTTAAATATGAGTTAATTACTACATGTGCCATCTGCTGTCAGAGAGAGACACTACATCTTATTGCCAACGTCAGATAAATTGTGGGTCACCGTGATATGGCAGCTCTAATTAGGCATTTTGTGTGATTAGGTATTTACTTCATAATTGGGCCTTTATTATAATAAGCCTTTAACTGACACTAGTGTGAGCTAATATGAGTGGATACAAGTGTTCTTGTGCTCACCTCTTGTATCTACATCTCCGTCACTCTTGTATCTTTTTGTGTTATTAGTGGTGTTTCAAATAATAGTGAACCCATTTGCTAAACAGAATCATACAGATTAACTTTGGCTCTCTGCCATAAAACATGAAGAGGATGCGTTTTCTTAAGAAGGTTCAAAGCTTTCTAAGACCTTTCCACAACAGATATTTAGGTAAGTCAGCCCTGTTGATTCACAGACTGAGCAGATCACCACTTGTTGCTTTTTGAGTATTAACTATTTTATTTGGTCCCAGGGGCAGGAATTCATCATACCACTGGTTATTTTTGGACTACAATAAATGACTTCTCTTGAGCATTTGTGGGACTGATCAGGGGAAACAAATTCTGTTGTCATTCACTGTTCTTGGCTGTTTTTAGCTTAAACAAATAATTGATAAATACTTAATGGATAAAATCACTTTTATATGAAATAACAATGGAGAAAACAAATTGTAAGGGTAAATCTGGTAGTTTATCTATAATCATATAACTAAAAGTGTGTTGACAGCACTATCATAATACACAGTTGTGGCATTGTTAGGAGGTTTTCTTTGGGAAGAGGTTGGAGACTTCCTCTATCTGTGCCCTTTGATGTGAGTCTTTTGTTTTCTTCAGTAAGATATGATATCACAAAGTGAACCAGCTTTGAACTTCAAGCTTTGTTTCTTCATTCAGTGCTCTAGCTACTTCTGAGAAACGACTAATCCTTTTTGTCTCTGTGACTCGCTGGGTATTCCTTAAAGCCCCCTGGCTTTGTTAGAGATAATATTAAGATAAATGGACATTATGTAAATGATGACTTGGAGTTCAAGCTGTAATCTGACTGAATAGGCTAGCTTTTTAACATGCTGAGACATCAGCACTGTCTTTTGGTTTTGATGTTCACCTTATAAAATCCGTTGCACCGCTGCACATCAACAGTACTGTTCCAGACTGTATAAGAACACTTTTTCCACTGAGCAAATCACATTATACGAATCAATGCACACAACCTCTTCTTAAATGTTAACAGCTTTTTAAAAAAAATGACATTTTACAGCAGCAGTACAGACTACATTTAAAACTGCATTTGGAGCTGTGACCTCACCTGCTCCAAAAAACATGTTTTGTGGTACAAAGCTTGATTTATTTGTAACTCTTTTTTTATATATTAATATGTCAGTGGCACAGTTTGACAGCTAAGTTAAAAAAAAAAGTTTTCATTCCAGTGAATGATCATGGAAATCAAATCTATTAATGAGATAAAGAGTACATGCATTATTTAATATGTATGGGTCATATGTTAGTATTCATTTTTAGCCCCACTTGGGGTCGTTCACCATTAAATGAAATGCATTTCCTAAGCAGCACAAAATGATTGATTTAACTGGTGTATGAAGCTAATTATGACACGTACATCAATTTGTACATCACTTTGCTTCACAGAAAGAGATGTCAGTGCGTCCAGTCACTGCAGTTCACTAAATGAAGAACAGCTTAGCTGTAGCGTTAATATTTGTTTGCTCCACTGTGATTACTGAACATGTTGTTTAAAAGCACGCGTGATCACCTTGACAATGTTACCTATTCCACACAGTTTAGTACATCACATCCTTGTCTGGCTTTAGTTGTGCTGCATTCAGAAAGTACTTACTATTGAAAGTCATATTTCCCACAAGGCTATGACAGGTAATTTGTCTCTCAGTTTTTACTGCTACACACCACTAATTTCCACCCTTGTCACCATGTTTCAGGGGGGATGTGGATGTGTCGGCAGTGTGCCAGTACCCGATTGGTGACGTGAAGAAGGTGTTCGAGGGATCCTATAAGGAGTACAGGGAGACATCCCAGAGGTGGGGACGCTACACCGGTGCTGTCCCTGTCCCACGGCCTGGATCGGTAAGAAACTGGGAATCCTGTATTGGCACATGTGAGGCAAATATTTCCAGACAACTTCAGGCAGCAAGAAAATGCATGATTACTGCTTCATAATAGACTTTTTGTGCACATGCCTTTTTATCTACAACTAAATCATCAAAGGAGAGATGATGGGAAGAGAAGGGATTGAATGATAATAAGAATGGGAGGGAGGGAAGTATGGGTGGCATAGGGTAGCCCAGCCAAAGCTGGCAAGACAGAAAAAGCTAAGAATGTAATGATCCAGGACGAAAAGGAAGCAGAGGAAGGAGTGTAATGGCTGGCGGAGGTGAGGGTGAAAGAAAGATGGAGTAGAAGAGAGGAGGGGAGGGAATGAGGGAGTGAGGGCAGTCATCTCCAAGCCAACTAACCATGCCAGCCTGCACCAGCTGCAGCTAAGAAGTTTCCTCCTCTTCTTCTTTCTCCTTCTTGGCCCTTCTCACTCTTCAATTCATCCTTGCTCCTTTTTCCTTCCCTGTCTCCCCATCTCTCTCTCTCTCTGTGCTGCAGTGTATAACTAACTCAGACAGGGAGAATGGCTACAACAGCTCTCTGCAGCTGCCTGACGCCACGCTCAACTTTGCCAAGAAGCACCCGCTGATGGAGGACAAAGCTCTGGCACGCCCCCTGCTGCTCACCAAGGGTGTGAACTTCACAAGGCTGGCGGTGGATAGGGTTAATGCCCTGGACCAGCGGGCGTACAACATGCTCTTCATTGGCACAGGTACAAATTACAAGACGGCTCCTATTGTTGGTGAAAAATGCTGGTGCTTTTTTTTTTTTTTTACTGATATAATCCCTCAATCAGCCAGTAAAATTCAAGCAATTGTACTACATCATTCTGACCGCACAGGGAACAAACCTCAAATTAAACTTTCAGCAGTAATATTTCATCAGCTTTCAGCTCTTACACTTCAAATCCTTAAATTTTTTTTGAAGTATAAATATATTGTAGCTGCACAGTCTTTCTTCATATTCTCCCACTCTGGATGAGTATGTGTTTGTGTCTCTGACTTGCACACAGCATTTGCCAAGAAGATGAGAACTTACAGGTTATGGCAGCAGACAGGGACAGGTACAGGCACAAAACAACGTACCATCTGGCCAGACGTCAGCTGGGTTTCAATTAAGGACTTGATTTGCATGCGGATCCATCTTCATGCATCGAAGGAAATGTCTACGTATGCATGGCTTAATTAATATTTCCAGGCAGTAGCCATCAGACCCATACACAGGTGTCGTGTTTTGGCATGTATCTGAAGTCAGCCAGCCCTACCTACAACCTTAATCCTGAGGAACACAGATCTGACAGTGGATTCCAGGGAATGGGAATTTGAATGCAGCTCATCTCATGAATGGAGAGAGACTCGGCTACTTATCATTCAGATCACCGCAGTGACTGTGACAACTGACAGTGTGACAACAGCGGACTCAGGGTTTCTCTGCTGGCAAGCAGGGAGGCCACCGCGGACACACACATGGATAACACACTCACAAATTGATATACACACACTCACACTCCCTGAGCCAAGTGCAGTCATCCCCGCTTGTCGTGCTTCACAGCACAAACTCAACAGGGCCCTTGGCAGACGTGCGCTCATAGTGCCAATTGGGCTGAGGGCTTGATTAGCTATTAGCTGCAGCATAGCGACAGCTGATGTGAAAAGAGAGGGAGTGCTTGTTGAGGCTGTTTTTCAGAGAAACCCGGCTAGAGGATTGAGGGATTAGCCGACACTGGCTCCTGACGATGTGAGAGACAAGTGTGATGATATGGCTGCTGTTTGTGTGCACATGTGTCTCCTTCTCTCAAGTTTCCTGTTGGCTAAAGGTTATTTTTTCATATTATCTGTGGCAATCTCTTAATTGGGAGTATCACATGAGAAAGCACATGCAAGCATGTAACACCATAGATAAGCACACACGTCAAGGTCACCCCACCAGCTGTGCCTGAAACACCTTTCATCACCAGGGATCTTAACTTGGTCACAATGCCCTACATGAAAGGAGTAAAGGACCTCCTCCAGCATCAGCTCCCCACCCACAGCTTAAGAGTCATCAAAATGTCTCTGATAATGTTGCCTTTACCCAAGGTCTTTTTAGGCTGGGAACAGCATCTCAGCTCTTTTAAATTCACCTTTAAATGGTTTCTTGCTGAGCTGGACTCAGTAATGCACCTGTAGGTTCACACGGTAGAGGTTGCCTTCTTTTTCATTTTCTGTTTTCATCAGTTGCAGAGCGGCGTGAAATTTTAGTGCAGCTAGCGTCAAGGTTTCACAAATTGAAGTTGATGAAAGTTGCAGACAACTTGATGACACTGTAGCTAACAGCATTTGTTGTCATGTATCTGACCAAGTTTCCTTCTTCTATGGAGAGCATTTCCTCATTGCGTTTAGCAGGGCTTTGTTTCAGCAGACATTTTGGCAGCATAACTGCAACTGTATTTTATAACACTTATGAAAGCAGTACATCAAATATTATTCATCTTAAAAGAGTCAGTGAGTTAGATCAGCTTGTGACTTAATATGTAAATGAACTGTTGTATTTGTATAGTATAATACCTCGCCACTAATATTTAATGAAAAGAATGAACTTCTCTGCAGTCACAGGTGTGTTTGTGAATGTATTATTATATCATTAATAGTTAAATACTGCGCAGGCACAAGTGTTTGTTTGCAGATTATCAATATTTAAATGACTTGTATGCAGTCACGGGTCTATGCGTAAAGTTACTGTAGAATACCATTATTAATCAAATGAACTAGTGTGCAGTCTGAGGTGTGTGTACAGATCATTTCTAATGTTATATCAGGGATATTTAAATGAGCTGTTTGGCTGTCAGACGTGTGTGTTTATTGGGTAGTTTATTTCAGGACTCAGCCAACTACTGAAATGCTGATCTGTTTTTATGCATACCATGAAAAATTGCCCTGAGGGGATGCAGAAATTTGTAGGGAATTTTTGATTGAAGAAAACAAAGGTGATGTGAGCCAAATCCTCTTCCTTCTTCCATGTGCTACAGCAGAGGGATGGCTGCAGAGAGTGGTGATCCTGGGCTCTGAGACCTACGTGATAGAGGAGATTCAGTTGTTTGAGACAGCCCAGCCGGTGGACAGCCTGACCATCTCTCACTCGAAGGTAAGGAAGCAAGGATACCACCAATTTTGCAGACTGAGATGCACATGGGGTCTATATAACACGTGAAAACGGGCTCTGGAGGAACCCTGTCAAGTCTGAGAAAAAAATCCTCTTGATGATGTCGAGGTCAGCTTGGACTAGGCTGTGAGACTACACACTTTAATGGAAAGTCTCCATTATAAATTGAGGGCAGGGAGTTTGAAAGATCTGGGTATTTGCCACACAGGCAGAGTCAAACAAAAAGATTCACCCAGTGTTTTTGGAGCTTTACCCAAACTAGTAAGAGAAAATCAAGATACAACATCTCGGCTTCTGTTTTATCAACTTTGTCCATTCTTATTTACACCTGTTTCTTTTACATCCCTTACTTTCTATACTAAGGGCAAGCATGTGCTTAAAAAGATCACATCGGACAGAAAAGGTACTTATAACTGTTCCTTACAGCCACATGAGGAGGTGGGGTGAAAAGCCAGCACAAATAATTGTGTAAAGCATGAAAAATGAGGGCTTGCAAGAGAAGTTCTTACCTTGGTCAATCACAGTCTAAAGTGAATGGCAAACTGTTGGTTCTAAAGTGCTTCTGTAGGAGCATACTGATGTCTTTTGTCACTCCAGTATCCCAGCTCACTTCCATTTTTTTTTTTTTTTTTGTGAAAAACAGGTTACCAGGCCAGATTTTATACAACAAACTGAGACTGAAGTAGACTGTAGAAGACTGATATTTCCTTCCTCTTCTTTACTTGATCATTTAAGTTTGAGTTTCCAGCTGCTCCCACTCACAACAGTGACAGACACATGTAGGCGTGTACTGTACGTATGTGTATTATTACCATAGGTTTTTAGATGTGTTGTTTTCTGTCTTTCTAACAGATGAGAAATTTTAATGGTCTCTCAAGGGGAAAAGTTATACAAAGTTCTTTTCTTGTCTTGTGAGCCTCCTGTCTGACTAGCACAACCAGCATGTTTCTCTCCTGCTTCTGATCATATTCCTCAAAAGCAGTTTAGTTTGGCTTGCTTTGCTGTTGCATCACTTGGTCATTGGTATTCAGTGGTAACAGTGGGACTTTGTGTTCTGTTGATATGTTAGTGCCCTTACAATCATGGATTCACTGACAACAGGCAGGCAGCACAATGCCAGTTGACTAGTGTCACTCAGCAGATGTTTTTTATCGACGCTGCCCTTTTTCATGGATGCCTCCTGAATTCAAAACCCCCTTCACAATAACAGTAATAACAGTCCTTCGCCACTGTGTAGAAGTGAACCTCTGGCTCTTTTGTTTTCTCAGTCTCCCAGCCCTTTCAGCTGAACCCGTGTGTTGACACCGGCCGTGTCCCAGTGGTTCTACAATGGCATGTCCACAGATCGATGCAATTTTGACGGGGCGTTGCCAGCCCTAAAGCCCATTGCTTATCTCATTAATGCTGGCTTACCATGAGCAGACCCTTTATAACTGCTTTTGCAAAAAGAATGTAACCCAGATTGGATTGGAAGAGGGTCGAGGTTGTGAATGTTATTGTAATTGAGGGTGATTATCCCATTATCTCCTCTAACCCCTAACTGAGCCACTCTCCCTCTCTCTCTCTCTCTCTTTGTTTATCTATCTTCTTGTTTTTTGTCTCTCTGGTTTTTGTCTCTGGGTGGATGGCTGCCTCTGTTCTTTGTCTTTCTTCTATTCTTCTCTCTCCGTTTCTCGCTTTAGAAGTACTTGTACATCGGCTCTCGTTCTGAGGTTCTCCAGCTGCCCTTGGCCAACTGCAGTCGCTATCAATCGCAGCCAGACTGTCTGCTCGCTCGAGACCCCTACTGTGCCTGGGACAGCGAGGGTCGGGCCTGCGTCCGCATCGACCTCCACCGCGGGTGAGCAGGGCACATATGTGCACTCATCCATTTATACTATATACTAGATATGCAACAGTATAGGTATTTTGGGGCTTGGTATTGATATTTCCAAGGAAGCTGTTAAATACAAATATTGGACAGCCCTTTGGAACACTTACTATATATTATGTGCCCTTCAAAAGTTGGATACATATAAACAGCTCCTTACAGCTGTATGAAGCCCGTTTCTTTGCAGGTTTTACAGACTTTTACCCTAAAGCTGTTGAGTAAAATTCTTCTCCTTCACAGACTATGATTTCTGAAGTCAGCCTTGTAGAGCAGTTGGGGACCATAAAAACATACTGACAAGCTGTGGCCAGGGTGGAATCTGATGAATGCCAGGCAAAGATTGATATTGTACTAAAAGAACATTTAAAGGCCACCTGTAGCTAAAATCAAGAACTTAGATATTTATAACAAATAAAAAAAAAAGACTGTCTAAACTTGTTTTGGAGTGTTTTATATAGATTTTGGTTCATTTGAGTATTATTATTGTTATGGGTACACAGCAGCTTGTACATACATTTAGTGGATCCTGTGTTATCTGTTGAACTCAGTGTGGACATGTCCCTCAGCTCTAATAAGAGACCTTTATTAATCTTCTGCTCTGTTTTCTGTTCTGTCCCCTACAGGTCAACCTCATCCCTGTCACAGGACCTCATGCTGGAAAGGTTCAGCCGTGGAAAACCCAAATTTGATAAGCCCGTCTCCATCCCCAGCCCTGGTGAGTTTAGGGCCACATCTCAGTAGGGGCCCCTTCTGAAAATTCTATAACAAGGACAGAGAATGGGCATGAGCTGAGCTCAGTGAATATATTTGGACTGAACTGAATAAATTGAATTAATCAGAACAGAGCTGCCTGCTGTAGAGTATGAAATGAAATTTTTATGGGTCACACTTAACCTCTGCTCATTTGAACCTTCCCTCCACTCTCCACCCTCCTCCACCTGTCCTCTCTTTCTGCAGAGCACTCCCGTCTGAGGAACGTAACAGTAGTAGTGGGGTCTGACATGGTGCTGCCTTGCCAGCTGGTCTCCAACCTGGCTCAGCCCTGTTGGGTTCTCAATGACCGTGAGCTCCAGCTTGGTGATCCCGAGGCTGGAGGGCCACGTTTCGACAGGACCCTCAAGGCCCTTGTCGTCCCTGACGCTGGCCAGATGCAAGCAGGTCGCTATATCTGCTACTCTGAGGAGCAGGGGGTCAAGTTTCAGACAGAGCGTTACCAGGTGGCCGTGGTAGCCAGCGCTCCAGTCTTCATGGAGGCCCGGGCTCCAGACAGCAGCATGGGGCTCTTCTGGGTGCTGGTGATCACCCTTGGAGCAGCATGTCTGATGCTCCTTATAGCTGCTCTTTACCTGCGCAGGAGGCTGAAGCTGGCACTGGGAAAGGGAGCTGACATGAAACCTCTCGAGAGCACCCTGGTCTACCCCATCACCCTGCCCAAGGAGCCACCTACCTTTGTGCCCAGCAAGATGCCCAGTGATGAGGATCGCTTTTGGGAGACAGGTGCCAATTACTACTACTCAGACGGCTCACTGAAAATCGTTCCCGGTCACGCCCTGGGGCCCAGCAGCGTCAGCAGCACGGCGTCACCCAGCGCCATTCCTGGCCAGCCCATCCACTCCCCTAGCCGGCTCAGTCTCACTAACATTCGAGGGTCCGGTAGCAACGGCTACATCCGCCTCAACCTGAGCACAGCAGGGGAGGAGAGGGCTAGTGGGGCTGGCGCTGGGGGCGGTGGGCTGGGAGGCCTTGGCATGGGCGGGAACGACTACTCCAGTCCCTTCAAGGAAGAGCTGAGACGCACTCTACAGCAGAGGAGCGTGCTGCCTGATGCCAATCCCGAGGAGTCATCCGTCTAGGCCTGTCCTCCTCCGTCTCCATTTCTGAGTTGGAAAAACAAAACAACCAACCTACCTCCCTCCTTTTGAGGATGCCTGCTCTCTCTCTTTCAATGACTCGCTGTCAATCCACCATGCTTTCTCTCTCACTCTGCCAATGCCTGTTTGGCTCACTGACGATATTTATAGCACACAGCATGTTAAATATATGCTCATACACTGTGTTCACCAACATGCACTCCTATAATTATTCTGTTCTGGGCAAGACGCAGTCATCGTTGTGACTTTTTCTGCTTCCACTGTGCAATTGCCACTTGTGTAAATTGTGTATTTAAAAAGGCTGAAACCAGAGGAGAACGCCTCAAGCATGAAAATCAAACAAACGGTGTTACATGTCTTCTGAAGGGCACATTTCTTTGACATTGAATGGACCAAGTGAGGCTTTTAGCCCCTGTGCTGAAAGCAGTTGACAAATGGCAAGTGCGCCCGACTGGAAATATTGAACTGATTCTCAATCACTCTGTTCCTTTGAGACTTTTTCAGCTTACTACACTTAGAAACCGGAAGCACGTCTTCCCTTTTTGTATTTGTGGGCCCCACAGCGTGAGAGCAGTATAAAAAGACTAATTAATCTCGAAGCTAGACGACAATCATGTCCCTGTGGCAAGAGCTCTGTATGGGACAGAGAGAGAGAGAGAGAGACAAAGCGAGGAAATAAAATGAAAAATGAAGAAACTTAGAGTGAAAGGCGCACGAGGGATTTTTTTTTTTTAATGAAGGACAATCTCTCAAGACATTCTGTACTCGAATTTGTATTTTCACTCATGTTGTATTTACCCCCAGCAAAACTCCTCGAATCCCTGCCACTTTAATTTGTTGTGATGGATGGATTGGATTAAGACATTTTTTGTTGTTCTTTTTCTATGTCTTACGGACTATACAGCGATGTTCAAATGGTTATTAGGTGACTAATGGCTCCCCTCTCCTCACTCAGCCCTGCATGGTGACCTTCAAACACAGCTTCAAGTCCAATATACCACAAGTACACAAGAGTCATAGTCTGTAACAGATAAGTGCTTTGGTTAAGCCCTTTTGGATGTTTGTTCATCTCCTTGGAAACGAAAAGGCTATTTGCATTCATTTCTTAAAGGAGGAACAGTAATTGCACATTTAATTCCAAATTGAAGTAGACGTGAAGACATTAGGCACGGAGAATGTAGTTGAACTCTTGACTGCTGCGACTGCTGTGGATGTCTCAATAAGTGCTTTACATTTTATGTGTTTGGTCAGGGTGGTAACTTGCACTGCCAAGAAGTAAATTACCACCTCACACACATACAATCACAGTTCTCTGAACGCCAACCACCCTGGACTACAGTGTGCTTGCAATGCACCCTTGAACCCCAAGAAACCCTTCTCTTTTACTGATGTCCAGAGACTGACCCGGGGCTACTGTGGACTTATACAGAGGAAGAGCACTGTAAAACACACCAACCCATAAAGAACACACGCACGGTGTTGTATAGAAGAAGAGACAGACTGATTGCTGACAGACTACTGGCCTCAGTTGGGAAGCAGCCATGAACAAGTGAAAGGTATTGTTCCACTTCATTAAATTCATACCAACAGATTAGAGCAAAGTTGTTACTTTTAACAATTTCCCATTCACTTACTACCAGGGGTGTGACGAGATCTCACGCCACAAGATCTCGTGATATTAAAACATGATATTTCTCGATCAATGCAGCGTCTTTGTCAGTTGATGTCACCGTTCAGTGCGGTGAAAGTTGAACCAGATCCAATTTTTTTGTGTCATTTTGCCGTAGCCCCCTGGCATGCTGCTACTGGCTGCAGTGAATGTAATCCACCATAAAAATGAATGCAGAGGGCTGTGTTTTTTCACATCTTTGAAACAGGTGTAAACTCAGTCTAAACGCAGCCTGGAGTTCATGCATAGTTCCTGCAGAGTTATAAGGTCTGAAGAGACTCGTGTGAAATCCTACAGGAGAGAAGGCAATCAGTTGACTTTGTGGCAAAACCCTTTACAGTGCCTGCATATTGTTGTCCTTTACTGCATATGATAATTCATATACAAAAAGTAGATATCCATTACAAGATTAGTTCAAACATTTCAAAATGCGCCTGCAGTGTTTTGCATTTGGTGACTTTCAACTGAATAAAACACAATTTCTCCAGTAATTTCTCCGTAATAATACGTCATTGAAGATTTAAAACTGTTACAATACCATCTCATCTCATTCTCGTGAACCCAATATTGTGTATTGTCTCGGTCTCGTCTTACGTATATACTTTTTTGGCTCATTATGCTGTAGTGGTATTTATCCTGCTGTCTCTTTGCTCAACTCATCTGTAAATGAAATAATTCAGCATCGCGGAAAATAATGCTGAACTTATTTGCTTTCCTTCTTTCTATAAATTAGATGAGAAGATCAATAACAATTTCTTATCTTTCTGTTAAATATGAAGCTATAGCTATGCGACAGTTAGCATAAAGCCAAAGCAGGGGGAAAACAGGCTGACTCTTACAAATGGTAAAAAACAAAAATGCTCACTAAATAACATATTGTATTGTTTGTTTAATGCAAACAAAAGCCATTGTGTGAAACAACAAATTACAGTTTGACATGGGGGTTACGTGCCAGACAATTTCTTGGCCAGGAGCAGGGACTTACTGGAGTCTGCAACTTGTTGTTTTTACACTTCTTTGCACACACAAGACAAGAGACAAGCTACAAGTATAATGTGTTAATTAGTGAGCCTTAGAGGCTCTGGTAGGTGTACAGACTCAAGCTGACTTTGTCTCATTTTCCAGCCATTATGCTAAGCTAAGATAGCTGTCTCACTGCTACAGCTTCATACTTAGTGGACTATCAGGTGAGTGGTATCGGCCTTCTCATCTGGCATTGCCGGCTCAGAGTAATACCACTTATGCACACCTTATATTAAGTCATACAAGGAGAATAGTAATAGGTGGATTTTAAGTGCATTTAGGTTTAAGCACCATCCATGTACAGCTTCACAGAGCTGTTAGCAAGCCTGTAGATTCTGAGCCTTGTTATACATGTTGGACCATTTCACCAAGCTCGTTCATTAAATGTAGTCCTTATGCACTCTTTTAATAAAGTCTTGAGGGGCAGGTGCATCAGAAACACTACTTTCAAGCCAAATTGGTAAGAAAAGGGCCCATACACAGCTAGTATATTTTATATATTTTTTTAAAAAGTTTAAATCTAACCGGAATCAAAATAAGTTGACCTAAGAGTGACCTTTGTAACACTGAAATATCTGTTTAACTTGTTTACTTGTAGTGGCAGTTTTCAGTCAGTACAGTGCCTTGCGAAAGTATTCGGCCCCCTTGAACTTTGCGACCTTTTGCCACATTTCAGGCTTCAAACATAAAGATATAAAACTGTAATTTTTTGTGAAGAATCAACAACAAGTGGGACACAATCATGAAGTGGAACGAAATTTATTGGATATTTCAAACTTTTTTAACAAATAAAAAAACTGAAAAATTGGGCGTGCAAAATTATTCAACCCCCTTAAGTTAATACGTTGTAGCGCCACCTTTTGCTGCGATTACAGCTGTAAGTCACTTGGGGTATGTCTCTATCAGTTTTGCACATCGAGAGACTGAAATTTTTGCCCATGCCTCCTTGCAAAACAGCTCGAGCTCAGTGAGGTTGGATGGAGAGCGTTTGTGAACAGCAGTTGTCAGTTCTTTCCACAGATTCTCGATTGGATTCAGGTCTGGACTTTGACTTGGCCATTCTAACACCTGGATATGTTTATTTGTGAACCATTCCATTGTAGATTTTGCTTTATGTTTTGGATCATTGTCTTGTTGGAAGACAAATCTCCGTCCCAGTCTCAGGTCTTTTGCAGACTCCATCAGGTTTCCTTCCAGAATGGTCCTGTATTTGGCTCCATCCATCTTCCCATCAATTTTAACCATCTTCCCGGTCCCTGCTGAAGAAAAGCAGGCCCAAACCATCATGCTGCCACCACCATGTTTGACAGTGGGGATGGTGTGTTCAGGGTGATCAGCTGTGTTTCTTTTACGCCAAACATAACGTTTTGCATTGTTGCCAAAAAGTTCGATTTTGGTTTCATCTGACCAGAGCACCTTCTTCCACATGTTTGGTGTGTCTCCCAGGTGGCTTGTGGCAAACTTTAAACGACACTTTTTATGGATATCTTTAAGAAATGGCTTTCTTCTTGCCACTCTTCCATAAAGGCCAGATTTGTGCAGTATACGACTGATTGTTGTCCTATGGACAGAGTCTCCCACCTCAGCTGTAGATCTCTGCAGTTCATCCAGAGTGATCATGGGCCTCTTGGCTGCATCTCTGATCAGTCTTCTCCTTGTATGAGCTGAAAGTTTAGAGGGACGGCCAGGTCTTGGTAGATTTGCAGTGGTCTGATACTCCTTCCATTTCAATATTATCGCTTGCACAGTGCTCCTTGGGATGTTTAAAGCTTGGGAAATCTTTTTGTATCCAAATCCGGCTTTAAACTTCTCCACAACAGTATCTCAGACCTGCCTGGTGTGTTCCTTGTTCTTCATGATGCTCTCTGCGCTTTAAACAGACCTCTGAGACTATCACAGTGCAGGTGCATTTATACGGAGACTTGATTACACACAGGTGGATTCTATTTATCATCATTAGTCATTTAGGTCAACATTGGATCATTCAGAGATCCTCACTGAACTTCTGGAGAGAGTTTGCTGCACTGAAAGTAAAGGGGCTGAATAATTTTGCACCCTTTTCATACCAATCAAAATTGACATACTGTATGTAACTCTGTGTCATTAGTTTTACAATTGCTGCAAATTCTTATATATTCATGTTATTTTCTAGTCACCTACAGTGGTACAGAAGAGCATAATGAAGTGTTACCAGATTAAATAGTTTGAAATTATTATACTAAAGTCTCTAATAGGTCAATCTGCTCAACATGTTCCATGATGATGTTATGATGTCCTAAAAAAAAACCCTAATTTCTAGAAAGCAGAAAACAACACTACAAATGAATTACTTTACATGATTTTGTCCTCTTTCTGTGCTTTATCCATCAGGGTTGGCTTTTATATTTTGGGACGTGTCTGTCGGGACGAGAGCACAGCAAGAAAGCAGGGGGAGGACATAAATACTTTGTTGTGCCCTGCTGTGTACAGAGCTCTGAGAGAGATGTAGAATATCTCAATCACATCACAAGGTTGAAGAGGTACTCAGCCATCAGCAGTCCATCCTAATGTTGCATGATCCTCTGCAAGTGGACTGTACAGCTTTGATATGATCGTCCTTGTACAAGTGCATCATTTTGATTGATCATTTTTGGACTTTTACAAACTGTGGAACACTAATGCTTTCTTTGAAAAAAATAAATAAAATAAAAATATGTATATGGCTCAAGGGTTGTACAGGAATTCATGGCTGCATTTCAACGTGTTTACTTTTTCTGTGCCTCTTCACATTTTGGATAAGCCAAAGTAGACTGCAGTTGCTTTTGTTCTTGATGAAATACTTTAATTAATTTTATTTGATTTCAGATCGATATTTAAGTCTCAGCAGTCTGTTCACTTGGCTACACTGAGCTGATGTCTGCAATCTCTCTTTGCATATTTTATCTGCACCCTCAAGCAAAGTGCAACAAGTCTTGAACCTGATGGACTTCCTGTTTGCTTCCTGTTTACATGTCAGTAGTGATATGCTGGACCCAATTCTTTATGCCTTCGCTTTATCAAAGTCTGAACAGTGTACCAAAACTTTAATCATTATTTAATTTGTTAGCCCCTGATAAACCAAATAAGTTCCTCTTGATCAGTTCAAGAATGTGACCTCTTTATAGTGTTACATAACTCAAAGCAGAAAGCTAAAACACATTCGCTCATTACACTGGTACTTGGTTATGTCTTAATATGATTCTTTTTCACAATTAGGCTTTTCTATTAATGTGACATGTTGCAAAAATGAAAATGATAAAGGAATACAGGCCTCAAAATGCATGTGTATTGTACTTAATGTGCATCGCTTTAGTTTTTGCGCAGTTGTTTGCTTATAATACAGTATGTTCTCTCTCTTTAAGTTCTGCAGTTTTTTCACATTATTGTTTGCATTATTCTATTTTCATCCTGTTTATATTTCACCCCAATTTTGTTTTGTCTGTTATTGAACTTTTATGTTTGTTTTAAAATTTGTTAAGTAACTTATTTCACTTGTACAAACATGTTGATATTTATTACCATTGTACATATGTTCTTATTTTTTATATGTGTACATATACACAAATAAAAATAGAGATATGCTCAAGGTGTGCGAGTTTAATAGAGACGAGTGGACAATGGACAGTTTCCTAGTCACAGGAAATATTACTCTGCCTATAAAAACAGTAGCATAATGTCATCTATGGCTCTGGAGAGATAACAAACCTGATGATGACACTCATCAGAGTTACTGCTGCCTCAGCTCGGAGACTACAAATTTGTAAGAAAGCCTTCAGACGATGTTTTCCAATAGACAAAAAAGATATTGGGTTGCACTATGGGAATGCAGGATCTGCATATCCTGGCCTCCACAAGCTTTACACATGCAAAACAAATTTGCTAGAGTAACCCCTTACACATATACAGCAGATAAATACTGGACAGCATGTTTCTACAGCACATTTTAAGTCATTGATTCCCAACCAGGTCTAGACCTACTTTTACCTCATCATGAGGTATTTCTGTCATTATGTCTTGAACAAAAATATGTATAACTACTTATTTGTGATTAAGATAAGATAAACATACAAATGAGATAATAAATTGGCGTGAAGTTTATCTTATTAGTGTATTTTCTGTCACAGTAACCAATACCAATACAGTGCTACGGCGGGTAGAGCAGTCGTCTCCCAGCTGGAAGGTTGAGGGTTTGAATCTCAGTGCCTGCACGTGTCGAAGTGGCCTTGGGCGAGACACTGATCTCCCCAAGTTTCCCCTGATGGTGGCACGTATGCGTATGACGGCCTGGGGCCCTTGGCTCCAAACAAAATTTCATTGTACGTGTTACAGTAAAATAAAGCTGCTGCTTCTTCTTCTTCTAAACTACCAGATGTGTGTGTCTGAAGATAGTTAAAACATTCAGCTGCTCAGTGGTTAGGTAACCTTGAATTGCCCATAGGTGTGAATGTGACCATGAATGACTGTCTGTCTCCATTGTGTTGACATACAGTATGTTCCAGACCTATGCTGGATGAATAAAATTAGGGCTTAGAAGAAAAATATACACTTTAAAGAAACACAAAAACATTTATTTAATAACATAGCTCATCATCATAACTCAGTTTTAAAAATATTAGCATCATTAGTCAATATGTATAGGTGTATTAACAAATACATGTGTTGGTCATTTTCTCGTAAGACATCCAGTTTTTCAGATTGCAAATATCTCACTGGACAGGAACTCATACACCAGTGGTATTTCATCTGTGAATGTCTAGAGCTGTTTCATTTCCCCAGCCTGTGCTGCACAACAGCAACAGCCAAGCTTCCATCGACTTGCACAGCCTTGCCTGGTGTCAAGAGAAGAAGCCACATGCTTTATGTGATTGACAGACCCAGCTGTGGAGAGAGGCTCACAGTTGCTTCTGATCTCAGTGTACTCAACTGCGCCACAAACTCACGAAAGGAGGAACTCTGTGCGTATTTGAATAGACCACCGTTCACACACTTCTTTGGGCATATTGATTTTCAATCATAAAGAGGATATTAAATTATTGTATACCACATGAACATTTGATATTTATGGTTAAATATATTTTAATAGTTTCTTATGATACCATTCATTTTGGTGTTTAGTATATAGCCAACTGAACATCAGAGCCATCTTTTTATTTAAAACCTCACTTTTAAAAACCAAAAAGAAAAGCATGTTAATGGACACAAAGCACTATGTTTCCCTGCTACTGTTGCCCAAAACCCACATCTCTAGTACAGTAGTCACACTATATAACCTCCAGCAAGAAATGTTGACAGCTACCTGTCTGGATGACAGATTTGGGGAGTTAACTTTGAGCATCAGGTCAGCTGTGAACCAACAGGCTGAGAGAGGAATGCAGTGAAGCTCCAGTTGTTAGGTTTCAATAAAGCCAACAAAAGATGGGGCCTTACAATTGAAGGTGCAAGTTTCACTCCAGCTGGATCAGTGAAAAACCCCCAAACATACCACAAAACATCAGTAAAATAGATTTCGCTTGCTTTTTGCAGCTGAGCTACTGATTAGTGTCGTTTACAAGAAAAAAAAATCGAGTACAGTGTATCCTAAATAAATTAAATTAGAACCACAAACTCACGAAAGGAGGAACTCTGTGCGTATTTGAATAGACCACCGTTCACACACTTCTTTGGGCATATTGATTTTCAATCATAAAGAGGATATTAAATTATTGTATACCACATGAACATTTGATATTTATGGTTAAATATATTTTAATAGTTTCTTATGATACCATTCATTTTGGTGTTTAGTATATAGCCAACTGAACATCAGAGCCATCTTTTTATTTAAAACCTCACTTTTAAAAACCAAAAAGAAAAGCATGTTAATGGACACAAAGCACTATGTTTCCCTGCTACTGTTGCCCAAAACCCACATCTCTAGTACAGTAGTCACACTATATAACCTCCAGCAAGAAATGTTGACAGCTACCTGTCTGGATGACAGATTTGGGGAGTTAACTTTGAGCATCAGGTCAGCTGTGAACCAACAGGCTGAGAGAGGAATGCAGTGAAGCTCCAGTTGTTAGGTTTCAATAAAGCCAACAAAAGATGGGGCCTTACAATTGAAGGTGCAAGTTTCACTCCAGCTGGATCAGTGAAAAACCCCCAAACATACCACAAAACATCAGTAAAATAGATTTCGCTTGCTTTTTGCAGCTGAGCTACTGATTAGTGTCGTTTACAAGAAAAAAAAATCGAGTACAGTGTATCCTAAATAATTAAAATTAGAAAATCTATCCCCCCACCACCACCCCCCACCCCCTTTCTTTTTTGGACGGTCACGTGATATGTTTGTGTTATTTCTATTGGCCAATTCATATTAAATGAGTTCTGGCCTTTTCCGGGTCTTACTGAAAAACATGCGAAAGTTAGTTCCTCCGAACGATGTAATTTCTCAATTAAAAGCGTTTTAAAACAACGTGCAGTGTTGTTATAATTTTTGACAGTTATAAATAAGTGTGTGTAATACAGTGAGTTTTTTGAAGTTGGATAAGTGTGTACTGATAACGATTTGGGCATTTTTTTTTGTCGCGGAGGGATCTATATGCTGCCACGGGCTCTGGCGTGGAGCGTGATTTGAATTCTCTTCGCTCCCTTTTATTGTTTTTATTTTCTCAATGAAAATGTGTTGAGATCTAAGCGATTTATACTTATGTTTTATACAGATATATGTTATTTTAACAGCAAACAATCCTTTTTTACCTTAAATTTATTAGGTAAGTATAGTTTACTTTCAGTCAGTTATCTTCAGCACTAACGTTAATATGCAACGTTAGGTTGCGTGTCGAATGAATAAATAACAACTAACTTTATTTTTCCCCCTGAAATTTTAGCTAGCGGATAGTATAGTAACTCTGACAGTAGTCAGATGTAGGTGTTATTTTAACTTATTCACTCAGTAATCGCATTTATTATGAAGCACAAGCAGGGCAATATTAGCATTCAGCAAAAGTCAGAGAAACATTACTTTTGGAAATGTTATGAACTTTGGCATGGCGGTTTGTCCGTACAAAATGTGGAGTTCATGTTAGCTGTAACGTTAGTGACCTAGAAACACGAGTCTTATCGGAACAACAACATTATTTTATGGAAATAATTTACAGGTGACCGAATAGTGTTGACTACTACTGTCATTCATCGGTAGTTTTCCCTAGTAATGTAACGTTGACAGATGTCCTTGAGCTCTTGAATTGGTGTTGTAAGTTGTAAGGTTCCTCAAACTGTCTGTGCAGAGATCTACCATGGAGATCAATACTGCTGACATTGAGGATCACCAGAAGGAGAAAATGTTGTCCACCTCAGAGGAGGACGCAGCTCCTACCTACAGTGACCCCTCACTCCCCCTGAATTTCTCAGAGCTCACACCTTGCCAGTTTGGCATTTCTGTCCAGAGTTTTATCCCAGCGTCATCATCAAAATGTAAAGGTAAGAGAACGAGCCTTTATTTGGTGTAAAACTGCTGTTTACTACTGCACTTGTTCCACAGACATACTGTAAATGTTTGCCTCATGTTGATTCTGCTGTGCTCAGTCGCCATGAGGAAGTTGTGTGTGTGTGTGTATATATATATATATATACATACTGTAGGGCTTGTTGTAATCTGTAAGGTTAGGAATTAAACAATACTAAACAAGCATAAGCATTTTAAACCATACTACAGTTTCAAATGTGACTAAGAGAATAACAGATATGCCTTCAGTAAGACATGACACATACTGTGTGTGGTGCCAGTTAATTGTTACTGATGTGACATTCTTCTCTGTCTTGCTCTAGATAAGTCTCGGATCGCACAAATCAAGGCAAGGCGGAGGTCCAGTGTTGGTGTCCGGGGCTCCCCAGAGACAAACTCCCTCATCCGGTTTATGGCTAAACAGAGGATGAAGACTCCACCGTCCCACCAGACATCAGAGGTAAGATGCTTCTTGGGATACTTTTGACTTACTGATGCTAGACATGACTGTACAGCATATGTTGTCTCTTTTAATTTATCAGACACAGCTAGTGATGGGTGGATGAAGCCTTATGAAGTTTTGGGGCTTTCTATTTGTGCTGAAAAAGATTGGAAGTGTTGGGTCATCAAGAAAAGCAAGTACTGTGACATCTGGTGACTTATAAAACTTGAAGCAGCTTTTAAAGACTAGGGCCTACCACCTCATAAATTTTCACAGTTTGGCCTCATGTGTGTAAAAAAGTCAAGAAGGCTGTTATTATTGAATCGTAATACATTTTCACAAAAGTCCTTCCTTTAAAGTAGATGTCACTATACAATATGTAGCAGTAACCCTATTAATAAATACACCAGTGAAAAGGCTTGGTTATTAAATATTTTGGTGTTACAGAATAATGTACTTTAATAATGATTAAGATCCAGGGATGTTGCTTATTTATGTAATCTTTTAAATGAGGCCCAGTGTCATGTGATTAGGGAATGAGATTCATTAAATGGTGCTATTTTATAAAAGTGATACCTGGTGGAAATGTTGTCATACATATGAGCATATCTTGTTAGTGTACATCACTATTTTTCAAAATGATTTTCTTTGTTGATTTCACTAATGCATCTAGTTTAGCTGCAAAACCTTAAACTATCCAACTCATTGAAGCTCTAGGCTTTCTCAATAATATCCTTAGGGCGTCATTGTAAGCTACTGACAGTTTCCGAAGACTGCCCTTTTTATAATTACACCACAGATGAGCAGTGTACAAGGAAGTACAATACGCTTTAAACAAAACCAGTTTTACTCCCACCGAGCATGCACCGTGCCAGTACATTAGCTTGTACATATAACATGCCGATATATATCCCCGTCATCAGACAAACAATCATTAATGACATGACCCAGGTACTTAACTTCATTACACACAGTTAAAATATTATCAGCTAACTTAAAAGAAGGAAATACAAGGGACCTGTCCTCGTTTGTACGGCATATCATAATGACACTTTTGACAGCATTATACTTAACATCGTGACATTCCCCAAACATTGAGCACACGTTCAAGAGCTGCTGAAGACCTGCTGAGCTGGGACTAAAAATCACAAGGTCGTCTGCATACATTAAATGATTCACTACTATACCACCGACCATACATCCTGTTCTGTACATATTTAACTCTTTAGAGAGATCATTCATGTAAAAATTAAACAAAATTGGGGAAAGCAGACTACCTTGTCTTACCCCGTTACAGGTCTGAAAGGGTGCAGATATACAGTTATCCCATCTGACAGACATAGTCTGGTGGGCATACCAGTATGACAAACATCTCACAATATATTTAGGTACTTGGGCGTCACACAGTACCAACAATTCAACTGTATTAATTGCAATATTTATACTTCATATGACATAAAAAAAACAATGTGTCTTTACAGACGTCTCTGATTTCCCAAAGCAAATGACTCTTTTTAGTAATTATTATCAAGCATGGAGAGTAGGCTTCAATTAATTCAGTTAGATATCCCACTGTGTGCCTTTCAGTGTTGGGCATTAACGTTAAATGACTAATGTAAGGCATTATATTATTTTCAAAACAGTAACAATATTTCAGTCACTAATCTAAGCCATTGGTGTGTTCCCTGAACTCAGTCTTACTTTTGTTTTAGACTGACTACCTTTTAACATGCACATCCAGGCAGGATCAATTCAGCTGCTATCCCAACAGCTAATCAAAGGATGGAGGAGGGTGAGAGGCATGCTTTCAGTAGTTGGAAGTATTGACATTATTTCATCTCAGCCAAAAATGCAAATAACATTATAGTGCATTAGAAATTTTTCAGCAAAATGCTTTCAAATTCCAAAAGAGATGTCTACTTTAGTAAAGCATCTGGTAGAGCAGCAAAGCAACATGAAACAGAGAACTCCTTTTTCAATGAGTAGTGTGTAGTAGTGTGTAAAGAGTAATTGATTACAGTTTTCAAGTAACTTGGCCAACTCTGATGCCTATGCACAAATAATGTGTGTGAGTTTAGTGCTGGATCCAAAGGACAGATACAATCTCAACACATCTCTAATGACCTAGTAAATCCATAGTGAAATGAACAGAAGAGTTCTGCTGAATTCAAGTCCGGTAGAAGAGTGCACTGCACGCATGTCTATAAGAATGTTTGTAAAATTATATGTGACTAGAGATGGGGGGATGATACTGGAGCTTGTTTCATTCCTATGTAAGAGCTTGTATGAAATGAAGAAAGCCATGTGACTGATGATGTTGAAAGCTTCAAATGTCACTGTTGCTTCAGAAGGTATGGACGAGTGCTAGCGAATTGTTCGTGTCATCTCGAATTAGTACATTTTCCGCTGTTTTAAGAAACCTGATGTTTAAATTTATTTGTCGCTTGAATGATTCAAAAAATCATATCATTTTATTGTTGACTAATGTTGCACACAGTGACATGCGTTTTACTTCTGCTCTCTGGAAACACTGGTATACCTGTCTTTGCAAGGGGCAGTAGTTTTATGGGTGTTCTTGTGCTCTCGTCTTTATGTATTTTCTGTTTTATTGTTTCATTTTTAAACTGTTCTTTTATTGCTTTTATTTGTTTTGAACCTGGACCTTGAGTTCTGTAATAAAGTGTCATCATCATCATCATCACACATTGTTTTTCTCATCAGCTTCAGTGAAATTACTTGAGGGCAAGTCATGATTATTGTGGCCGACTTGTCTAATGCATGTAACACAATGGCTAGAATGGCTAGAACTACTGACGTTGTGTCCGGTTACAGCAATGATCTGCTGTGTGCTGCCCTGAATTTTATTAAGCACACCCAGGACGCATTAATATTGACAGTAGCCTGCTTTCCACTTGAATGTCATCTTAATGCAGTAAAGGAACAGACCAGAACAAAAAGCAGTGGAGCTCCTGCTGTGACAGTGGTTTTTGAGTGACAGAAAGACTTCAGGCAAATGCTGCTAAATAAAGCCGTATTATAGACAGGGGATTGCTTTAAGTAAAATCAAGCTTGACAGGGCACCACATGTGAATGAGCACGAGGCAGAAACACTACACTAAACTACACTAAAATACACAATCTGCCATGTGTGTAGCTCAATTAGCCTAGATCCGAGGAAGTCGCACACCCTCCTACATACTCAACAGTATTAAACAGTACAAGGTAGAGCCAGACTAATGCATTTATGTGAACAGATAAAAAAAAATTACAATCACAGCAGAATAGACTAATATGAGAAAATATAATTTCACACATTTGCTTTGTTTCCAAGTGGTGAACAATTTAGAATAGCTTGTGAAGCTTGGAGGAGACCCTTCATTTACATTTCATTTTTATGTCATATGAAGTATAAATATTGCAGTTAATACAGTTGAATTGTTTGTACTATGCAGTCAATAGAAAGCTGGTCCCTCCCTGGCTTCTCTGTAATTAAAATACTAGTTTTAGGGAAGAAACAGTATGAGCCAAATCATCCACAGAACTCTTGCTGCGTCTGCCATGTTGAATACAATAACATAGTACAGTACATTGCTGCTTCCATCCTGTAGGCCTGCTCTTAAGTTGGTTTCCCCTTAACAAAGAGAATGTCAGTCACAGTGTACTCTAATAGGAATAAGTCTTCATGGCATAAAAAGCCTGATAATGTCCACTCACACTTGTCACATCACTCTTGTACAGTTATCCATTCCTTGGCTCTCCGTCTATTCTCGGTATGTTTCAAACCAAAATACACTAAGTATGAAATGTATTTTAGTTGGGCTAATAATTTGCTGTTATAGTTGTTTACATCAGTATTGTGAACATAGTCCAGTGGCCTTATATTCTGACTCATGATCATTTGAGAAAATGCAGTACTTTTGAATTGTGCATACGATTTTAACTGATACTTGCATAACAGAATGTATGATTAAACTTTTAAATAGACAGCTTTGATAAGATTTCTGTGCTGGCTCACTCATTGCTTTCTGACCAATGGCGGATAGGAGGTGGGCACTGAAAAGCTTAGGCCAATGAACTGAGTCTGCTTCCAAGTAGAAAATGCTTTGCGCTAAGATGGAAATGACAACTGTGCATTTAGCCGTATGTTGACAAAACTATGTATATTTGGAGCTCAGTGAGCATATAGTGGACAGTAGAGAAGTGCATTATGTTTCAGGAGTGGTTTAAGAGGTTTCTCTGTGCTTGTGGATCTTTTTTCCACAGTGAAAAGCAGTTCACAAGACTGCAGGTGGTGAGTCTGATAAAGGGAATCATTTTAGGTCAAATTCACTTAAAGGGAAGTAATTTTTTACTCTTGTGTGAATGGTAATGATCGACTATGACTTGCAAAGCTCAGCAAACCATAACATTCCAGAACTGTGTGTGGAAGGAGAATGTGATAGATGTGCTGCCTCTCAGTAATACCACTTCTGTAATTTCAGAAGTCTATGACCTGTCAAGCTGCATCACTGAGCAGATATGTTTGTTTTTGCTGTCTCAACTCAGCATGTCAGAGGTAGCCCCTTCCTTCCCCGGGTCGCCTCCACACTGAAGCAGAAGATAGCCTCCTTCCAGAGACTGATTGATGAGGAGGAGGGTGAGGTCTGTGATCCGATGCCAAGGCAGGACAGCAATGGTGGAGGATGCATCAAGACAAGAGATTATCTGTCTGGTGAGGCTGCTGCTTGCCAGAGGATTAATAGTTTCATTTCTCAAAAGGATCTGTGGCAGTAGCGTTTCTTTATCATGTCTGGATGCACAGTTCAGAAGCAGTGGATTAATGTACAGTTTAAGCCTGATTCTGACAGCATGTTATGATGTAGTTATTTCTTCTGAGCTTGTGATCTTGGCCTTAAATGGGCCAATTTCTGAGCAGTAATCAAGTAAGACCTTATCTCCTTTCCTTTGATCAAGTTTTAAAAGTTTTTCACACTGTATTTATATGTTTATTGGATTGGGTGTTTTTATTTTCATATAATTGAGTTGTCTCCAAATCCCATTTGTTTTTGTGTGTATATGTAATGTTCCTTTTTGATACATGTTTTCGTTCCCTTTCAGATGATACCAGCCTTGATAGAGGAAAGGAGAACCACCCTCTAGTGACGACACCCACGCCCAGCAAAAGGAGGCGCCTGGGCCCCCTTGAAGGCTGTGAGGTAGAGATTAGTGAGGCCAGCACTCCTATACTTACTTGACTGCTATGAGTAATTTAACTAAAAGGTCTTCTCTGTGTACTTGGCTTCCATTGAGTCCACAGTTTGTTTGTAACTCCTACCTGGGACTACAAACATTTAAAAAGAGAAAAACAAGCACTTTCAAACAAGCCAAGTCCTGGATATTGAGTTTTATTTCTTTATTACCGCATCTTCTTTGTCCTTGTTTTTTAATTTTGGAGTTTCTACTTGTTATTACATTTCACCAAATACAAGTTTTACATTCTGTAGCATTCAAAGCATTAAAACAGCAGTTTGGTTTTCTGTAGCCATGAGAGAAATGATTTTTTTTATGTTGTGGTGCAGTGCAGCACAATGAAAACTGGGAATTCCTTAATCATGTCCACAGGAGGAGGAGGACCAAGTGACACAGGCTCTGACAGAAGCACCACTGCCATCCAGTGAAACTATGGGAAAGGGCCAAGCTGTGCTTATTTCCCCACCCCTCTGTGTAGACTTGGCGCTCCAAACCTGGACTCCTAAGGTTAGGTTTTAACATACAGGTACACAATTGTTCAGAATGAATCACAGACATTGATGTAGGCTTTTAGTGATATTGGTATGACACACATGACCTCCTGCTACAATGTTTTTTGAATAACAGAATGATATTACAGTGTTTCACATGGAAAACGACAAAACAAAACCATATCTAAACCAAAAGCAGTTGAGCAACGGACAGTATAACCACATTCAGTTGGATTTCAAGCAGAAATATTTAGTTTTGAAGTGATGCTAAATGATATTTTTAATGTTACCTAACCAAGCACACTGTTTTTTGAATCAAGCGTGTCATTGCATTTAAATCTCAACATGGTACAATGCAGCAATCGTGTCTCGACTGCAGCCACACAGCAAATAACAGGGCAGGCCTAGAATAATGGTGCCCTGCAGAGCCAAAGTGTGACTTCCCTAAACCAAATGTTAATGTGCCCTAAAGTACCCATGTGAGGTCATGAAGGCAACTCCATAGAAAGTGCAATTTTTTTGAAGTGTTGAGAAATGTCAGGTGAACGTACTTTAGTAAATCTGTGGATTGGAGTGTTTTTCCCCCACTCTATATTCATGTCCTTTCTTTCAGTCCAACACAGAATAGCCTCAGTTTTCTGATCCACTTTTCTACCTCTATATCAGAGCTGTATTCATTAAGTTAAAGAACATTTTCTGCACCTGCTGCTTTACATTTTGCAGAAAGTTTTCACCTGCACAACCCCTACTAGGCTTTTATTATGGCCTAGCTGTAAGAAAGGCAGTTCATTTGTCAGTGAGGATGATACTGTTCAGTAACAAATTAGTCTGCACTACAAAATGTGGACATTCATTTTAAAACAGGTGCATTCCCTTTGAGTGAATTGGGGCTTTGATAAAGTGACATGAACTCAGGAACTGAAAAACTGGCACTCCATAAACGAACTTCTCTAGGCTGCAGTATTCAGACTACCACTACCTTGGTTCAGAAGATATTGGTACACTGGACATTTTATGTTCTGCAGATCGCTTTTGAAGGAAATTTGAGGTGTTTTTGGAAATAGACTTATTTGAAACAGGGAACAGCTGGTCTGGCTCTGACCAGTGTTAGAAGAACCCACCTACTGGTACCTCTGAAGCTGACTTAACACCCTATGTGTTGTTTGTTTAATCCATACACAAACAGAACAGTAAAAATGACTAGATGTTTTACAAGTAGTTGTGTGCTAGAATTTTTTTCTCAGCTGGGGGCAGAGATTTCCTAGATTCTCCTCACATTACCTGGCCACATCATGGTGACAACAAGATCCAAGGAAATCAGTATACCTGGCCAAGATATAGTGCACAAGGGTGGTACCCATTGTCAAGGAGTAGCTTAAAGCAAAAAAGCGAGAAAAGGCATTTCCCTAAATGTCAAGCTTTAACTTCATATATTGCAAGCAGAAATGTGAAGGAAACATTTGTGGTGAAATTCATTAGATGAATGGACTAAGTAGAGGATGAGGATGATTTCACAGACGGTATCCCTTCCGTGTACTAAATTAGATGCTATTATCAGAACCTGCTTTGTGAAGCTCCTTGAATCACAGTCCAGCAGAATGGGGGATCTCGTGTATTTTCTCTCATCAGGACACTGTCTTTGAACCCCCAAGTCCCGGCCAACCACCACCTGACAATCCTTCAGCTGCTTCACCAGCCCGGCCTGCTTCGCCCCTCCACATCTCTTCTCTCCCTTCTCTGCTGGAGGTGCAGCCCACAGGTAGGGCTACGTATCACTCCATATATATATATATATAGGTACTTTTTTTAGAGAAATATTATTAATGAATCTCTTTTAGTAACCTTTAGCATAATAAATATTGTTTGCATAATGCACAGGGGCAAACTGATGCTAAAAAATAGATTACTAAAGAATTTTGAAACATGAGGCGTAGCCTACAGCAACGGACCTCGCAAAGACCAGGGTGCACTGTGCTGCATCCTTTTTCAAACAACATAGTTTATTAATTAATTTTACAATTTGAAAATAGAGTTGGAGTTTGATAACATTTTATTCAGTCTCAATCCAGAGTCAAATTAAATCATCAAATATTGTCCTGTTTTTCTTGCTGACCTACAAGCACATTGAGAGCCTCTGTAAATATGAATCTGATGGAATCAATGTTAACTAAATGATTTTTTAAATGAAAAAGCCATGATCAGCAATGGCTACAATGGAAAAGCTTCTGCTTGAATGTTTTGTGCACTGGTTTATTAAATATTATTTTTGAGTCAGACTGGCACCAAAACCCATCTGGAGACCGTGTCGAACATTACAACAAACGTGTAGTAAACAGAGGTTAAGTTAATTATGATGATTTCTAGAAAAGTACATTAAATACCTGAATATAAATTATGTTTACCTGTATATAAGTTTTGATTATATAATGTAATTGTTATTTACACAATTCAGTAACCACTTCTATGTTGCTGTCATTCCTGAAGTAGAAAAACTTTATCAGAAATTACCATAAAATTGAGTGGCCACACTAACAAGTATCAACAAAACCTCAGTATTTATAAGCAAGCTATCTGCTGTTTACTGCTGTTCAGCTTGCATTGTCTTTGTTTTTTCACTTTGCTCTCTCTGTAACAAGTTAGAGGGCTACAAAGTGTGAAATTAGAATTCAAACTAGACAGTTCAGCGGTGAAAGCAGCACCAGCAGTTTAATTTTAGTGACTTTGCCTCCTCGTTTCATCTTTCTGTAATAAAACTGAAGTTGTGAGCACCTCACTTTCACTACTTTAATGAGTGTGTTAGAATTTCTGAGGAAACCAGAGCAGAAAACCAAGCTGTACAACATTATCCTGGCAAATAAACAGACTAGCTTCCTTCTAACTACCTCTTATGCTATTAAGACTTGATCAATGTTTGTGCTGGTCTCACTGGGAACTGTGGTCCTTCCTCCACTCAGCCTAACGAGCTCAAACATAGTCAACCATAGATATAAAGGCCTACACTTAGATGCAGCATGAACATGTATCATTTCTTAAGTAATAGTAGCATGTGCATAAACTGCTGCTGACATCATGGGGATGCATCAACCCCCCCATCTAACCATTAGCTATTAGCTGTTAGCCTAAGGACCTCAATAATTAACACATGCCAGCATTGGAGAGTCTGTGGGCAAACCTGAAACAATCGCTGCTCTGTAAGTTTATGTTCATTTAGTGGTTGTTTTTGATAAGTTTTTCTCACGAATGTTTTCTTGCATAATGAAGGTGTCATCACCTATGTGACATTAAATCACTTAAATGTTGGCTTTGTGTGAATGCACTTCGAATGAACTTGGCAACTGAATAACATTACCTTCGCCTTGATTTCTCTCCTGCACTGACTCTGATCCTCTCTACTTCTTGTGGTTGTGCACTACTTTCAGACCTGACAAATTTTTACAAGACTGAATGTGCTTGGGTGCAAAAGTAACAACGTTCACTTGTTTGAACAGCCACAAAATATTAAGGCACAGCAGGACACTTCTCTCGGGGAGGACTTTTTCTAGCACTTTTCTTTCTCTTTGGCAGTTTTGGCAGCACCTTTCCCGGCGCACTTTGCTGATTACGATACAGCACCAGCATATCAGCGTACTGCCGCAATCACAGTTAATCAAGTGATAGAAATCCACAGAGTACAGTGCTTGCTACAAAATAGTGTTTTCCCTGAAAACACCAACCAGAGTTCTGTTGAGAGCTGGAAGCAGTACAAAATTTGACAGCCACCTCATAATTTTGTATGCAGAAAAAAGCCTGGGCAGTCCTTAGATGTCTCAGATGGTGTTAAACAAGGCTGAACTTCTGCTGTGCCATACAAAATATTGTCTGATAAATTCATAGCTGTTTTCTGTTTCTTGTCTTATTTTCTTGGAACCCGTAGTTATAAATCAATTTGTAATTGCACAGTTTTTTTGTGATATTTTTAAAATTGCCTTTATTTTGTATTATTATTTATCTATTTTATATTTAGACTTTATATTGTTTGGCATTCATTGTGGGAGAGCAAAGGAAGAATTTCATTGTGGAGGGAAACATGTTTCCTTACCCCTGATATGTTTGTAAGATGTTGGAGAGTTTCTCCACCTGTTACTACAATATCAGGATCATGTTTGAGTTTATAGCAAGGTACCTTTAGTTTCTGCCTTTGCATATGTTCTCTAATAAGGGCAACAAAAATAAGTGTCTTATTTCTGCATTCAGAGTTTTACTGTCTGTGCAGGTTTGGATCACTCCACTCAGGCATCAAGTATTAAAAAGAAGAGGGTTCGTTTTGGAGGCCCACTTTCTCCTGAATTCTTTGATAAGAACCTGCCCCCCAGCACCCCATTGCAGAAGGGGGGCACACCAGCCCGAGCATCCACACCAGGTGGGAACTTAAAGCTGCGCTCAGTGCTGAAGACACCACAAGCTCAGCCGGACCTCATCAGCCCCACTGTATTTGGTGCCTCCCCTACGCTTGCAGTGTCTCGCAAGCACAGAATCAAGTCTGTAGGAGAGGACAGTGAGGACAAGGAAGGAAAGGTAGAGAAGATGCCAAGATGTTTTGACTCTATGTCATAACATAATAGTTGCAACAGTGAAAGTTCACATATGGAGACCCTGATAATCAGGTTGCACACAGCCACAAATATTCAGGATATTTCTACAAAAGCTAGGGCAGTTTTGGTTATTAATAACTCTGACATGTCATGACACACATACCCATGTTGCGCATGGTTTTTACTTTGCCACACCATTTGTTTTTCTTGTAGCATGCTTAAATGTTATACCTGAAGGTTACATATACATAAATTGTGTGTTACCTAGAAGAGCCAAAATATGCCACATTATCTATTCTAGGTTATACTGTACATATTGTAATCTCCATTGATTTTCTTTATTTTCTGATCCTAGGTTGTTTTCCCTTCATTGGAGGAGATTGACAGTCAAGTGAAAAGTGATACAGGTTGAATATTACAGTTTATTGAACCTGAGCATTACAGTGTGTCTCTAGTGGAATGTAATTAAACTTTGCTTTTATGTTTTCAGAATGTACATGGGACACCGTGCCGTTGAATTTAAACACTGCTTTCCATGAGGAGTTTGTTTCTCAGACTGTGACAGGTGAACCACAGTTTTTTTTTTTCTTTGTCACTTCACTTTGTCCTTGCCTCTCCACATCTCCATCTCACCTGTCTCCTAACAAATCCTGCCTGGTTCAGACTATGCAAATTTTTTTTTTGTCTGCTACAATGATTGCTGTGTCACATTACACGATTATAGCATCATACATTCTTGGAAAAGGGATGTAAGAGACTACATGTTGGTACCCGACAGATCACAGCCTGCCATCGTTCACAGCTTGGAGGTACCAGGGGCTGGGGGAGGAGTGTGTGTGATACTGACTGCTGGTGTTCAGAAAAGCATAAGAAGGGGTGTGGATAGATAACCGTGGACCCTTCGATGGGTCGTGTGAAGAAAGCAGCAGCCTATGTTGTCTCTCCATCACTGATAACTTGAAGTAGTCAGTTAAAAATAAGCATTTTAGGCAGTAGTAAAATGGAAAACTAGTTAGCTAGTCCTGATAGGGTACCTACTTCACAAGGCTGACTGTGAAAGTTAATATTCTTATGTTACCGGTATGACTGTGATATTTAATGGCTATGGTTCAGTCCAATATGTCAAAAATAGGTGAACAGAAGAGCGATATCTGTGCTCCTGTTGGTCGGCGTCAGCACCCTCATGTCATAGACGATGAAAATATTCTGACATGCTAGATTTTGTGTTTCGGGATGTTGTGTGTGCAGCTCAAACAAACCATGTTTCTCAGTTTGAAGTCAGCCTAACAAGGTATTGCCGCTCCACAAGTGGGTCAGAGATAGTGGACTACTTTTTCATTTGGTTTAGCAAGCTCAAAGTCTTGTGAAACATGTTTAGCCTCTCTTGTTTACTGTTTATCAGAATCAGCTTTATTTGCCAGGTGTGCTGAACACGAGGAATTTGACTCTGGTACAGCAGCTCTCAATGTGCACGTACATATCCCCATGCAAGGCAACAGCAAGGGGCAAGTATACAGTATACCAACATAAGGTATATTGTTTACTTGCCCCTTGCTGCCATGGCAACCAAAAATAGTTACCGTTGATCAATATTACTATTGCCCACCGTCATTGTCAAGCCAGTCGTGTTCTAAAACGATCGTGATTCAGATCTAAAACTGAAGATTTTTCCTCAGAGTCTGAGATTAAAACCAGCCCACCCTCCCAGATGGATGTCCTGGATGAGCCTGCAGTCTTACCAGAGACAGAGCAGCAACCTGAAGCAGCTCTAGTCAGACCTCGCAGCCAAAGGAAAAAGGTCTGCCTTAATTTAAACTATTTTGTATCTGCTCTCTTGAGTATGTCCTTGTGGGTGTGCCAGATATTTTTTAGCAGCACCTTGTTTCACATTTATACAGTAACTATTAGTATTGCAGATGTTATTTAATTATCACTATCCTCTATAATTTTCCATGCATTAAAAAACTTCTCAATTTCTCTCATAGCAACCAAGACCAGAGTGTGTATCTGCCAGTGAGGCTCCAGCTCGCTGCTGCAGTCGGAAGAGAAAGGTGTGCTATTACTGCAAACTACTCTCAGCTTGATCCCACTTGTAGAAATCCACGTTTACCAGATGAGGTTGTCTTTTTTAATAATGTAGTGGCCATAACATGCTCCTATCTAATCTACTGTTTAATTTGTCTGGATCATAACTTAATCACATCTGAGGCTATCCACTTTATGCATGAGAGAGTGTGTTAGAGATGCACTCTGTATCACGTATGCTCATGCCAATTCTGTGCTCTCCCAGCAGCCAGAGGAGAGCAAACCTGTGAAGAGGTCAACACGCTCTGCTGCCAAGTTGGCCTCAGTAAAGATGAAGGTGAGTTGGCTGAGTCTGCTTTTTAGATTTCTCTTTACACCACTTCACAGCAGAATCTACAGACATGTCTTTCTGGGAGGCAGCCATGGAGCTGATAGCTGCACAGTCTGACTACAATTTGCTTTGCCTGTGTTACAGAAAAGAACAATGTGCATTGATTGTTGTATGCCCCTGTGTTTCTTCTACATACACAAGATCATAAGTAATAGGAATTCCATTATTAAACCTTTAATATATAAAGTGGTGCATGAATGGAGAACCTGTACTGCTGTCAGAGGCTGACAAGGCAGAATGTGTTTCTGGTTTATTATGACATAAATCTCATAAAAACAAACCAACAATGTGTTATTGTCAGTGCTTTTTAAGTTCCCTATCCTATCTGCGGCTCTCAGCCCTGTGCCATCCATACTTAGTGCACATGTAAATCTTTAAAACCAGGCCACAGGCAGCTGAGCACTTTCTCTAATCAAAGTAAACAGGGAATTTGTTGGACTATTTTCAGTGGTTGATTTGATGTGTTAGTATTTACATCACCACAACAACTTATGTGGGATCAACTCAAAATAAACTTCAGTGCCCATGTTCCTTATAATGAAGGCGCATGCTGCCTAGTAGTACGGTGTGGCTACGGGTGGTTTTAGTGGAGCTCATCAGTACACAACACATCCATTGTTAGTTTTAGGATTTTCATGGTATTTGCAGACAATAAGAAAATATATATATGTCTGCCAACAGACATCTTTTAAGCCTGTTTAGACAAGAGTAAATAATGAATGGGATAATTAGGTGAGTGCTGCTATTGGGTCTAGAGCTGTGCCTCTTGCTAACTACATGTATTGTTATGGACGGTAGCTTGTAACTGACAACACGCTCCCTAATGCATCAGACCAGTCGTTTGAAAGCAGTCTGGACAGCTGTAGCTGTCTTGACTGTAGCTCACATTACAACAGTCAGTTTACTGAGCTTGCAGCATCCAGCTCTTCTAACAGCTTTGTAATATCTGTTTTTCTCTTTCGTACATGGCTGTATATCAGTCTAAATTGGTTCCTTTCCATCAGGTTAACCCAATAACTTTTCATTTCTCCCATTACTCTCCACTGAATGTTGGCTGAGCTGATGAATAATAATAAATAATTTGATACTCACTATAAAGCACCAGGCATCATTCAGTCAAGACAGTAATTATCAGAGTACAAACCGGAATGACGGCATTGCCCAGTAGCATATCCACTGTTAAAAACACCCTTGCTCCCATAGAGAAGGATATCCCCTAAGTAAAATATTGTTTTATTTCTGTTATATTTTTATTTTAATGTATTGTTAATGTGATATTTGTCCTAAATGTATAACAAATTAATTATTCATATACTGTATTCAGTAAAGCCCAACCTGTGACACTGCCTACACAATGACCCACTAATCACGTCATCATGCACTTAGGATTACAATTACTGTAAATGTCCCTTGGTAATCACAATGACAGATAACCAGTCAAGTATTGATTAGATGTACAAAATCGATCAGTCTGCATTGTGTCATACCAACACTTTCAGTAAAGGGTAGAGACCTGCTCACGATGCAGATCGTTTTCCACAGATGACCTCCGCAGCGAAACACCAGTGGAACAAGGATGTGGACCGCTCCCTGTACGGCTCTCGGGAATACGCCTCCAAGAACCCCACCCTGAGTCCCATCCGCGAGAGACTGTCCTTCACTAGCCAGTCTCCAGCAGCACAGCAGACTCCCTCTGCGGGCTGTGCAGGTAAAAAAACAAAACAAAAACACATCTTTGTCCTGCAGCTTTAACAGTAGTAGTTAATTATGAATTTTGTTTCTTTGCTGTAATGTTGACAACCCTTTATAATCCCTGTATTTGTTTTCCTACATATATTTTTCCAGAACATACAACCCTTCAAAATTTATGGTTGCTGTTTTGTCTCGCATTTCTGCCAACAGCCCAAGATCAGGAGACCCACCTGAACCCTGAGATGGCTAACGACATTCAAGCAGTAGGTGATTTCACTGTGACAAATGCCTTGGAACATCCTTCTAAAGATTTGGACACATTTCCCCATTCTAGTAAAGGAAGGGCGTCAAGGAAGGGCAGGAGGTTATCAGGGCCAAGGGGCCAAGACAGAGGGCTGAAGATGAGGAAGGTCAGTGTTGCCAACAGTGACCAGCTCAGTGAACAGCCTCTGGATCACACTAGAGGCAAGTCAGAGGAGCACTGTGAAGACCAGACCACTACAAATTTTGAGGGATCAAGCAAAATCCCATCGACACATAGTGCACCTGAACAGGGAGGAGCTGACATTGACCTTAATGCCCAGACTTTTGCACATACACCCAGCACAGACTCAGACAGGAAGCCAGAGGGCGATGCCCTTCCACATGCCTGTCCACCTTCAGATGAAGAGCTCAACACATTGAATGTGCCAGTAGGGCCAGAGCAAAGCAGCCACGTAGAGGAGGGAGTGAACCTTCTGGACCTGGCCCCCTGGCAGGCTGACTTTAACTTTGAGGATGTGTTCAAACCTGTGGTCACGAGGGGGCAGCGTTCAGTGCGCCGTAGCCTGAGGAATCAGAGCAGAGCAGATTACAGCAGCGACAATGCTGGTCTCGCCTGGCTGCCTCAGACCTCCCCTGACTGCAGTGAAAAGGGCCGCAGGAGGGCCAGGGGCCGACGACTCAGTGCTACTCTACCTGTCCAACCATCACTTCCTGAAGAGGCACGAGACAACACTTCATGAGACTTTAAATTGACCACACAGTTCACTGTCCTGTTCTATAACTGAACTGCAATTAATACATTTATTACACTGTCATACATATGTATTTTAAAATGGAATGAGGTGATTGGTGATGAAGAACAGGCTGAATGTTTTGTCTCAGTTAAAACATTGATGCTTTTGTACCCTGTGAATTATTTGCGCTGACCAGTGATTTGTAGCCAGATTCCCTCTGGTAACCCGGACAGTCAATACACTGAGAGCCCAGTCATCTCTGCTGACCACCACCTAATCAATATCCAAGCACTCAGCTGGTAATCACGGTGCATCTTCACTCTCACTCTCCAAAGTCACAGGATCGAGCATCTCCAAGTCAATACCTTCTCTTTGTGGATGGATGACTGGACTGCATTCACCATCTGTCAGGCAATGCTGGGAGGGGGCAGGAATAATGAAGTAGTGATGGAGGGAGAGTGTGTGCCTTACACACAGAAGTCAAGTTAATGGGTTTAATGATGTTCATTAGTTGTTACTAGAGTGTTTTGGGGGGGGGTTGGCCTTTTTTTTTCCTTTTCTCATGAGCCACACTGTTAAACTGTATTTTCTCAGCTTTTAATGAATGTTTTTAATATTCTGTCAATAATTGTTAGTGACAGCCAGTCCGATTGAAATTCTTATGTTGCATCAGATTAAAAATGAGTTGGTGTGCATTCATTCAGTTTCTGCAGATGCCAGAATGTACCTCGCTAGGCTCTAATTGTGATTTAAACATTACGGTTGCATGTAAAAACACTTGATTACGCCAAACTGTGTTCATTTCAACTGACTATATAGACTCTCTGGAAGGGCTTCTTCCAGAGAGTCCACATGTGTGGTCACTTCAGTTCAAGTACAACAGCTTTCCCTTTTGCCTAAACCAGGATGCTATAACAGAATAAATCACTACTTTGATGACCTTTTTGAACGCAGCCAAATGCCTGGAAGTAAAATTACCTGTAGCCTCAGATTCCAGCAGTCACATTCAAATCAGCCCGTCTTTACTGGCTCCATCCATCTGTCAGAAAGGGGTGAAGAGAGCAGTAACAAATTGAGTTTCAAATTCACTTCACATACAAAAATTGGCTCACAGAATGATGCATGACTGTAATCTATCCGTCACTGGGTAATTGACTCCCTACTTTTACACCAAGCTGGAGTCACATGACCAAAGGACACCGATGATTTCTGGCTCTCAGTGTGTGCCAAGATCTCTTCTGTGTTCCTAGTGGCAGACAGGTGGACAGAACCCTGTAGTTAGTGATGTGGTTGTGGGATGATGCAGTGGAGCTACTGTGCCATCTGGTGGTAGCAGTGAGGAGGTGCAGTAGCCACTTGTTCATCCATCAACTGTGGAGATGAAAGAAGTCATGGGAGCTGATGTCACCAAGAGAGGAAATAATTTTGTTGTTATGCATTTATTTGTGTTAAATGGGGGGGTCTACTTCTGAGCATAAATCACTTAAGACTTCTGTGTGTTTCCTTATTTTCATAGTGTCATATGCCCTCCTCCTAACTACATCTCTTACCCTTTCTGATTTTAAAACTTGTGGCTGGCAGCATCTTTGTGAATAGGCTGTTTTATTATTAGAGTGTTTAGCCAAACTGGTGCACCTCTATACAAGTGTCTGTGTGTGAGAGCGAGTGGAAAAGAGTGTGTGTGTGTGTGTGTGTGTGTGTGTGTGTGTGTATATAAGGGGTGTGAAGCTGGATCCCCTGTCCCTGGCAGACGGGCATAGTGAAAACGGCTTAACACAAGAACAATGGAGTCTTTTGACCAAAATGAGCCCCCAAGACATGTGGCCTCCTGTCACCGTGGCAACCCCCCATGGGACAGGGAGCGGGCTGACAGCTGGAGAGAAGGACCTACAAAAATGGAGTCCCTCGCTTTCTTCCACTGCTCTATATTTTTTCCTCTTCGCCCTATCTACTCTAGGACCTTACAAATGTGGGTTACACCTCATTTTATAGCTTCATGTGATTGACCTTATGGACTTGACTCCCCACCAACAACTTCTAACAAAAAAAGAGTTGGATGCAACAATAAATCAGGTCTTTGTGGACTCTTGTATTTGTCACTAATAGGAGCACTGACAAATATGGGTCTGAGCCACAAGAGTTCACAGTAACCACACTTGATTTTATGCCTCATTTTAAACAGATGAGCACTTTCTGCACAGACAAAAAGGCAAAATAAGTTATTTGTACTTTAAGATTTAGAGACCTTTGTCTTTCAATTAGTTAATTAGTAGCTGAATGGCATTAAGTTGTCCTGCTGCCTCAGTCCTGTCTGTGCTCAGTGCTGCGAGCCCTCGATTATTGATGCTGACAAGCCGTGCACAGCTCTCCTATGGAGCTAAAGACAGCAGGAGGAGGGCAACAAAACAAAGGCAGGACAACAAGAGACCCTGTAGCTACTCTCAGTGGTTTGCTGTCCCAGTGTGTCTGCATGCTGTAGCTGGCTCCAGCCTACTGCAGAATGCAGAAAGCATCCACACTATCACAGAGCTGCTACTGGAACCATTTTAGTATCAGTCATATTGTAGTCAAAAAGTGCTATTTAAAAAAAACTCATCACTAGAGCATATAAATATTTTTTATTTGTCAATCTGCCATTTTTATTGGTTGGTTAATAATTTATAGTCTATTGAGTCTGTGTGTCACAAAAAATGAAAAGTGTCCATCACAGTGTCCCAAAGTCCACGATGAAGACTTTAAATGTTTTATTTGGTCCAAACACAGCCCACGTCCTCAATGGAGTTTTGTTAAATAGATGTACAGTATTTACCATCTTGACTGAAAACAGTTAGTACATTTTCAATCAGTTGATTATTACACTAATCATTGTAGCTTATGACTCATTTGTAGTGGCACCAGTGATTTACTGGTGATAAATAAATTCCATGATTTAGTTTTTCAGTTCCTATAACATTAATGTTAAGATGGCCAGTATAGGTGAGTTGTCAGTCTTCAGACATTTTCACGGAGAATGAGTCAACCTTAGAGAAGCAGTATGGGGGAAGGTTAGGTATTTAGATGGTTTCTTTCAATATGTTTTATTTTTTGAAATAGTATCTTTCTAAACAAAAGTCGAGCTTCTTCAATTTGGCTTCATGGATACTTTAACTGATCTCACTTGAGTCGGCATCAGCCGCTGCTGAGTTTGACACGAAGAAACCTGGGCTTGTGGGGCTAGAACATGGAGAGATCTCTGTAGCCTGTCTCGAGTTTGTCTGAGGTGATTAGCTGCTTTAAAAAGGTTACATTTAAGGAAAGGAGCAATTTCATGGATACTCTGGTGTCTGAAAACCTCAAGTACAAACTGTCAGTGTCAAGTGTGCAGTCTAACAGAGGACAGAGCTGCCCAGTGACATGCCGACACATATCAGCAGAATATCTGGGCATGTCGGAACTCGTTTTCCCACTGACTGATACAGTGTGGAAAAAGTGTCTTTTCGGATGAGGAAATCCAGTGTCTGCTTGAATGTTAAGCATTTTCCAGCATACTCATACTGAAAAAATGCTGATGCAAATGTTCAATCTCAGCATTATAGGAAAGCTGGAATTTATGGAAGAGGTTTAGTTGTGTCTTCAGCAAGCAGGAAAACAGATGGTTCACTCAACAAAAATCAGTTTTATTGGAAATAAACAAGATTGTATAATGAAAATGTCTTATCTCTATTTTTAAATGAAACATTTTAGCCATCTAACCCTTGTTGCAGACGCTACAAATGAAGTTAATCCCATTTAGGATTTTATTGCCTCATTCTGACAGTTCTTTTTGTAATCTTAAAAAAGAAGCAGTTAATTGTGGTCACAGTTGCTTTTTGGAATATACTAGAATTTGTATTTTATATCACCAGCCTTGCACTCCATAAAGCATAAATGGAAACTGGCGCTCCTGTCTCACATCAAGGATGTCCTGCTGAGTTTGCTGAACTGATGCTTCCCTGTGCTCACATATTCCAGAAACAACCCATTGGAGCATGCTTGTGAGCTTTTCCATTTTGTCTCTGCATCGTTTAACTGTGCTGGTCACTGGTGATCTGTCCAGGGTATCCCCCCCTCTGCCTGTTGCATGCTGGGCATTGTTCCAGGCCTGCTCCCTCTCTGTGTTTGGAAGTGCTGCTGTTTCTTAAAGGAATTCCTGAAAAGAAACTCTCTTCAACTTTGTGAGCATGGAGCTGAGGGGCACTGCAGACAGATTCTCCCTGTTGTGCACACATTAACCAGGGATCTTCACAAAACTCACATTTTTAAAAAGGATACATTTATTTTGTAATTTACAAGAACGGAGAATAAACCAATACAGATCTTGTTGACATGCTGAATAGGTTTATGACATGCTAACAGCTTGTTCATGTTACTGACTGAAATATCTCAACTACTAGATGGATTGCCATAACATTTGGTACAAACATTTAGGGTCCCGAGAGGATGAAACCGGCTGGCTTTGGCGCTCCCCTGATGTTTCCTGTGGTGCCACCATGAGGTCAACTTTTACAACTTTTGAGTGAAATGTCAAATGAATGGATTATTCTGAAATTATGTGTGGACAACTATGTCCCTTGGGAGGTTGTGTAATAACCTCAGTGATTGTCTGACCTTTCATTCGGTGCCACCTGCAGGTCAACATTTTAATTTGTCAGGTGCTTTGGTTTATGATCAATTGCCCGCAAAACTAATGACATTCCCATCAGTCTCAGCTGTGCTCAAATGCTAAAACATAGGATACATTTTTAATGTAACATTTTATAAAGTACAGATGTGTGACAAGTTAATAGTGTCCAAGAGCCCATTTCCTTAGCAGGAATTAATTTAAAGCCTAATCTGTGCTTCTCAGAAACTTTTAAGACATTTAGAAAAAAAGTTTTTAAAAAGTTTAGAAACCTTGTTTTTGTATTTTCCCTGCACCTGAGAAACCCTGTGGTTTACCCAGTCTTACCACGGACCCCAGTCCAACCAGCATTCCCAAGTCTTCTTAAGTATTCCTTATTAAAAGTGTAGTAGTAAAATTGGGGTTAGTCATGTTTTTTCTGCTTGTTGTGATGTGACCACACATCTGCTTCATAAGTCATGACCAACAGCACTGCAAGCGGTTCCCAAACGTACCTGGAACATGTTTTTATTATCACCTTCTGAGCAGTGTCGAAATTTGGTTCCAGGAACTCATCCCCACTTCAGAACAGAAACAGTAACACTGTCATCCCCAAAGCAGTGGAAACAAAAGCAGATCATGTGGCAGAGGCCACACATTAGAGTTTGTATGTTTATGTTAGGTGGAACTCTCCCATAAGTGTTGAGTTGGTTTCCTGGTGGCTGCGAAGGCCTTAGCATATGCTTCACATCATTTTCATAATCATCAAACCATTCAAAGAAAGAAGCCTTAATTTTGCTCCACTGATTTAGTCAGGGTTTCTTCACTTTGATATCATGTATGTAAAAGAGTGTGATGTTTTAGCAGCAAATAGAAAAACTCACAGTGCAGATGTTATTAAGATGGACTTGTACATAATGATGTTTACATAGGACAGAATCCTAGAAATGTTAAAATAATCTGTGTCTGCCAATGCAAATACAGAATCTGTACAACCAAGGTATTTTGAATTTCTAGCATCCAGGATTTTGCAATAAAAAGCCAGTCATGGTTCAAGCA